CCTCAACAGTCTGAAGAAGATTTGTACTTGACTGTTTAGTCATCTGGCATTTCCTCCAAACAGAAGCCTCTGACTCACTGGCAAAAAATATAAATGTTGGTTTGATCAGAACACGCACCAGAATGTTCCCAGTTTAGTTTTCCTAGAAACTTCTCCAACAAAAGGACGAATATTTGCATGCTGCTCACTTACAGTGCAGAAATACAGAACGGTAGGAATGCTGCAGAAACCAAACTTAACTTTTATTTCAGTCTGCAGAGGCAACTTTTCAGGTGCAGCTCAATAGCTACTTACTTATTGCTATTTTAAAAAAGTTATCGAACGAATTCAATTCAAACAATAAAACTGAGATTCCAGGGTTTATTTCTGGAATTTTTACAAATTAAAAAACTAAATTTACTGCAGACAAGTTAGTTATGCCCATTTGTTGTTTGTTATCATGCTTTCTGATAAGGTCATGGTAGGGCTGGTGCCTGTCTCCAGCTGTAATCGGGTTAGAAGTGGGATTCACCCTGAACACGACGACAGTCTGTCACAGGGCAAAACATCGACACAGAGTACAAACCACCATATGTGCACACATACACATACACACTCACTCCTCAGAATAATGAAGAACAGTCAAATCAATCTAACATTCTAGGAGCCCTGAACTTTGAAATATGTATTTCGGTTTCAAATTCACTTTTTGAATTTAAGTGACTCCCTAGGTAAATGCAAGTAACTTGCATGTAATTTACTGAGATCCAGCTGTAACTGTGTCTTTGTCATTTGTCAAAAGTATGAACATAAAATTCATGAAATGTAGTATTTTCTCTGTCTCTCTTAAAGTGTAATGAAATTAAAGAAACAGCACAGGTGAAAAATATTGGTTTATGCAATGAATGGAGACATTTTTCAGAGAAAAGAGCAGAAGATTCCCATGTGTGAAATTAATCATTAAATCAAATTTATTCTCCAAAAGTCTCAACTGCAATCTTGTTCGACAACTAAATCACATCCCACTGGGCTTTAGGAACAGTTTTGAATAGAGAGAGAAAGGAAAAAAAGAAGATTTGGAGCCACTTCAATCAGATGCAAGATACAGAAAAGAGGGACAGAGGGGGGCTGAACATTAAATAAGGGTGACACATGAGACACACACATACACACACAAGCAGAGGGATGAAAAAGAAAGGAGAGAGGAATAGACTGGGCCCACCGAGGGTAACAGAAAAGGTATTACTATGTTCAATGATGTAAGACCTTTTTTTTTTTAAGCAGTGCAGCCATGTGTGTCAGGGAGATAAGTTTTGTGTAAACATACTGAGATTCTGATGTTTGAGGTTGGATGTGGTCCTACTGGATAAAAGCAATCTGAGCACCGGCAGCAAATGAAGGATGCTAGAAATGAAAAATATTAGATTTATGGACCAGGGCGGATAAACTCTCTGTGATTCAACTGTAATTAAGTTTCTGTCACTATCAATCACAGCTCTCAATTTCCCTCTAATCAGTCCATTTCATAGCCGCGATTACTCCCCAGGCGCTAACATCAACACACTGTGCCTCTGCCTGAGCACTCTGCACTGCCACAACTGCACAAATATTGGTGGATTAAAGCAGCATCCATGCATGCTGATGGCACAAGTCTAAAGGAGCCGAAAAGAGTGACAGGTGTGGAGAAATTCAAAGAGGTAGATTTTCAGATAACGGTATCCTTGTTGCAAAGACTTTAAATTAAAATGCAAAATGGATGCAGAAAATTAAAAGCATCAAGTGGAAATGATTATTTCAACATCTGAGCATAAAACATTCTCCTTTGTACACTGCTATGGGATTTTAAATCCTTTTTTCAGCAAAAACAATACAATAGACAATTTACTGTGGATAAAAGAAGTTACATTATGTTGGCTGGTTTTGTTTTTGTATCATCATTTTCTTTCTTCAGACATCAGCCGTCAACTTATAAAATTTGTCCTCCAGTGCGAGAAGTGTCAGTGATATGTTTTGCATGTGCAACACGTTCTGCTAAACCTCACTAAAGTGGGATTCCATAGGCTTTAAAATTGCCTTCACGGTATGTCTAGCAAATTTGTTAGTGTACCGACTGTGATCAGTTTGCCTCAGTTTTTCAGACAGATGGCTTCTCATTTTGTAAAAGAAATCGCTGCAATGACGCAGAATTGACAGTTGAAATCGGAGACAGTAAGCCACCAGGTCCCCGAGGCAGAAAACAACCCCAGCTGGTACAACAATCTTCTGCTGAAAATATGTCTTCAGTTCTGGACTGCACTTGTTTACAGCAACAACTAGGGCCCTTGTCTTCTGGCAAACTATAGTTTTGCTCTAATGAAGGTCAGATCTGCACCATCAGTTCCTGTTCTCAGCATATGCATTACTGGAGCTAGTATTATGTTTGGTTTTGTTTTTGTATTTCCTGGATCGGCTGGTTTGCTCTTGGGCTGAAATTCTCTTGCTGGAATTAAATTAGATATTTTTGACATATCTCCCTAATGTCAAGTTCTCTTCATAAAAACTGAGAAAATATTATTTAATATTTTCTTATTTCTGTTTACAGTTTTGTGAAATTGAGAACAAAAATATTTTGTCAAGGTATTTGGATTAACTTCCATTACTTGCAAGCACAGCTTTGAAGAATGTAGAGTGAATGCTCGTTTATCTAAGTGGAAAAGAGTCAACATTCCTACAAGATTGTACTTATTTTTTCTCATGTTTTCAGGTAGCACAAATTGTCTCTTTGTTACAGTAAAGCAAAGTGTGTTGTTGATGTTTGGAATCAACAACATGAAGTTAGCTTTAGAGGCACAGACAGTCCCTTATCCACTTAGCTTTTAAGTTTAAGGGACATGCATCCACCCAACACCTCCATTTTATGGTCAGTGTGATGGTCTTACCTGAAACACTGTTAGTTTTGTAGTTTTTCCCATCAAACTTCTCAGAGATCTTCAGAATGTTTGTTTACAAATGTGAGATAGGCCTTTGTGTTATTAAATTTTTTGGTCAGTACAGGTTCTTTGCCATCAATCTCTCACATGGATACAATTTTACCCTGTATAAAATCAGCACTAACTCTAGCATAGAAGATTGAGGTCATCAGTTCTTAATTTTGACCATTTGTGGAAAAGTTTCACACTCCTCCATTATATATATAATGGAGGAGTGTATATATATATATATATATATATATATATATATATATATATATATATATATATATATATATATATATATATATATATATATATATATATATATATATATGTGTGTGTGTGTGTGTGTGTGTGTGTGTATAATATAAAATCTGAGTGTGTATATATAATATGGTTAATCATAGTTCACACATGATTTTCACAAAGGGCCACAAGTAATTATGTTTTTGGTACAATACTGACATTTGCTTACTGATCTGATACGTTTAAATGTGACCAAAACAGCAAAATCTGCAAGACACCAAACAGTGAGACTGTACAATTAGTCTTTCATTAATATTTAAAATAAATATGCAATTTCTAAACATCAGAATCTTTTTATTGGCATAGGTTACTGTTACATAAACATATTTCTGACATATCCCAAAGTGACAACGATGTAATATTACACAACCCTGACACTAGGTGGTGGAATAGAAAATTTATTTTTTAAGATGTGACCTTTGACCTCTGTTTGGTCTATACTATTCGCCTTATAGATTTACTTTGAGGAGAAATTAGCCTGGAATCTTATTGGTTTTAAAAGAATGAACATCTGGGGAAGCAGTGAAGCATCAACTCACACCATGACCACAGTACTAGCCGAGTTGAAGGTTTGGCCAATTTAACAGTGTGTATTCCTTTTCGCTCTGTTTCAGGAGGATGATGTAACTGCACTGACAGAGAGAATCCCTTCTTGTCTCGCTGACTTAGAAAAAATAAAAGCCAACAAAACCTCTGTAATCGGGTCTCTGAGGTCACTCTTCACTAGAACATCAGTCCCTGGGCAATAGCCGACAAATTACAGAAGGCCAGAGGAGCCACAGTCAGAAAGAGCAAACGGGTTCAGGCTTCTGCTGAGCAACTAGTGACCCACGGGTCAGGGAGGAGATGAACTGCATGATATTATTTTCCTTCATTAAGCTGCAAAAACAGAAACAATAGACTGTACTAAGAGAAAAAGAAAAAAAAGAAAGAAGCAAATCTCTATTATCACATGGCCATAACGATAGTTCTCCTATTTGGTAAGCTGGAAATGTTTAAACTTGGACTGGTGCGTTCACCCAATTATCAGATTTTAAAAACACCCACTCAACTCCACAAACAAGTCCTCTGGTCCTCGTTTCCACCTAGCAACAAGACACATTGGGTTTGGGAAAGGGGGTACATTTTTCCATTTAACAGCATATTGAAATGAGCTTGTTAAAGCAACAAATTTCATACAGCACCTCAAATCCGCTGCCCTGCAGAGTGGACTGTAGGCAAAGGTTAATGGCCAGTTATCTAGAGCATCCAAGGTTGACAGTCAAGGTGGCAGATGTTCTGTTAATCTCAGAAAATGTGGCATTGAGGGATGAATACAAATAGGAGAATGTTTTTAATAAGCCTCTTCTTGTTGGTAGATTTTGCTGAATGACTTGTTCCAAATCCCCTCATTTGCACATTTTTTCAAAGATGTATGTAATAAAGCATTGTATGTTTTGACTGCTGGCCTCCTGCTCTCATTTTTGGCTTTTAAATGTATTCATTTGAATACTGGGGTGTGTATAGTTTCCAGTTACGATTTGTAACACTCGCTTTTGCGCACACAAGGAAAAGAGGAACTTGTTGCAACATCCAACAGGTCGACAGCGTGGCTGCTTCATACACCTGAAGCACTGAGCTTTGACAAAATGGGCACATTATGTCTTTGCGGGCCACTTCTTCTCATCCCAAACTGAAGTGATGCTCTCTCCGTTTCAGAGATGCGCAACAGATGCAGCGCGCCGTGCGTAAAGCGCTACAAGGAGAGACAAGCTGTTATCTTACCTGTCATCAGTCTGCCAGTCCCCGAGCAACAGGTCTCGGAACCGGTACCGAGGGGGCAACGGGAGCACCTCCTTTTCCAGTTCAACCATGATTCACCTCCCTCAAAAAACGGAGCTGGAGAGAAATAGCACCGCAAACCGCACCTCCGGACCGAGAAGGTGGCTCCCGGAACCAACAACTCCGCTACTCTTCCTTCTGCTATTCAGAACGTAAATGAAAGACGAATACATTGGTCCGTCTCATGGCACTGTCCTCAGCCTCCCCCCTTTAGAGAAAAATCCACTTCTTCCTTTCCAGTCTTCGCAACAACAAAAAAAGAGCAGCTTTACTGCAAGTCGAAAAGAGGCTACAGGTCGAGGAAGCTCATCCCTCGGTGCTTGGAGGGAGGGGAGACTCCACTCTCAGGCTGAGCGCAACTGGTTGTCTCTCCCGACAGCAGCATCCTCTCCTCCCCGCCTGGGCTCCACATGGACGCACTGAGGGGCAGGCGCGCACAGAAAGGGGGCAGCTTGCGAATGCAATTATGAAATCACGGCTCAGAACAACATAAAAATAGCAATTAGCAAAGAGCGATCTTCACAGAATCCACACTGAACCGTGACAGCATTTACTGCTCTGCGATCTGTCCCACGTTCACCCTTGACCCCCCCAGAAATGCCAAACACACTCAGGAGAGGCTCGGAGGCGTGGGATTATCCGCGCTTTCTCTTTTATTTTTTCACCTCAATTCCACTGCTGACTGAATAGTCACTTCAAGGTGGATGCAGTAAGCTATAGCTAATTAAGTTTGGAACAGCACAACTGAAATATACAACGGAAATGAGTTGATTTGTAGATGGTGCATATTTATTTGACGACATTTAACGCGATTCTGGGTGGCTTGCCAAGTAAGCAGAGAGCTGTTCTTTTATTCATAAACTAAATTTAATTAGAATACTCAGTGGAAGCAGAAGATGAAGAAAATAAACATTTTCATCAGGAAGAACATGTTATTTCTATACTTTTTTTTCAAATATAATTTCAACAGCCAACATATGTAATTTTGCAATAAGTTAACTTTTTTTTCTTTCATGCAACACCCGACTTCGTGCAACATTTTAGTTTATCTCCAACTTGGAGGATGAAGCGGCACCGATCTTCTGGTCATAGGAGAAAAAGTAATGAAATTCAAATGGGGTACTTAGGAGGGCTGACAACAGATGTTATTCAAATTAACCTCCATTAATTAATATTAATCTGCCTCAACCTGGCCCTGGCAAATCAACACTTACGTGAGCTCAGCTGTTTATCCAATAAGGAACATGCATTTCATTAGATAAAGAGCTTGGGGTATGTGCAATTTGATACTGCTGTGTTTGTGCGCACCAAATTTTTAATCTATCTTTATTTGATTTATTAACTTTTGTTTTATACTCATTTTGGAAGCAGAAGATCAGGAAGATGCGTCTATTTCTCCCTCTAGTGGTCATCGAGGAGCAAACATACAATCTGCAGGCAGCCAAATTTAATCAGCTCTCGCAGGATGTGTTGAGATGCGAGTTTTTTTTTAAAAAAAACCTTAATAGAGATAAGCTCAGAATAGCACTGTACAGTGGTGAAAATAAATCACTCTTTGACTATATTAAGTTTATAAAAGGATTGACAGAAAAGTAAAAAAGAAATCAAGAAGGATTTCTTTTGTATCCATGGTAACCAAAACAGCGTATTTCTGAGGAAACAGTCATGTGTTTCAAACCTAATTTAAAGCCAATTTCCTCCGTCAGTGGCTGATTGTGAAATGAGGTATTTGTAAATTTCTTAAAAATGCAAAGAGTAAAAAACAATCTTATGTAAAAAAAAAAGTTATTTAAGATTTTTTTAAAAATCAGTCTATTTGATGGTTTCCTCCATTCAGAGTCCAGCTTCAAAATTCTATTCCAAAGTCACATTGACAGAAGCCAAAGCCTCCACCGCCCAGCCGGGATACTGATCCGGCGATGGGAACATTCGCTTCATGAATGTCCGTATGAACTCAGGAAAGTGGCCTTCCACGATGCTCTGCCTCACAGAACGCATCAGGGTGAGCTGCATAGAAAAAAAAAAAAAAACATTGATAAACAGAGGAAAGGATCATTTGATTACTGTAAACTTCTAGAAATCCATAACTCTGGATCTTCTGAGAAAAAAAAAGGTCAACTTCAGGTCAAGATATTCTGAGTAGTCTGAGTTTTATACAGCGGCAGCAGGATATTTATTTACGCTATTACTGAAGTCTGTTGAATTCTAATAAATCATTAAAACAGATTAAGGAAAATGGAGTGCTAAAGACACAACACTGAATAAAAGGTGCAGTAAATAACAGTTGGTGACATCTCGGGCTTCACTGTGAGAAAGCAATAATATCAAATAAGAAGGTCTCACTTTCGCCTCCAACATATCCTGAATAACTCGGTTTGGATAAATATCCTCTGGGGATATTCTGGATTTTTTTAATAGGCCTTTTGTGCTTTGCAGACTGAAAGGTAGGGATTCTGCAAACTGCCATTGCCTCCCACGGATAACATCAGGCACAAGTAGATTATTATCTAAAGCTTTTAGAACGTGTTTGAACATTTCTGATTGTTTGTTTTGTTCTTTAAGCCATTGGTAAAAAACAAAAAAACAAAACCAAACAAACAATAAAAACCTCTGAGGGGCTTTGATACAAACATGTCATTGTCCTGCAGGGAAGGGGATTTCTAAATAACGTTTTGAAACCTAACAGTGTTTCAAGTGTTTTAGGACTTAAAAAGTAAAAATCATGGTAAATAATTTCCAATGTATGTGTTTTTTTAAATAGGACATTCTGTAAATTTCAGCTGAAATGAAACCAATCTGTTAGTGTCAGAAATGTCAAAAAAGACAAATATATGTTACAACCTGGGTGCACACATGAGCGCACCCTTAAACTAAGAATTTGTTGATGACAAAATTCAATCTTACTACTTTTGTCTTAAATCTTCCCCATCTCCCTGCTGTATGCAGCACATGTGAGAGTAACATCTATGTGAGCAATTCATCAATATCTACCATGTGATATTCAGTCATTTCTAATTCCTTACTAATGCTTTGAGTTTGACAGAAAAATCTATTTATAGAATTTGATTTTCTCTTTGAAACTGTTACAATAATAAGCAGGTACACAATACATCACTGTGACAAAAGGTCAGCATTGGACAGAGTAAATCCATCCCATTGATATTGTATTTTAAACATGTTTAATGCTTATTTGGAAGACATGAGCAAAGTAAAAACAAAATTGAGCTTCAGTGATGAGCCAAAACTATTACAGCTTGTGACTGCCAAGATTCTTAGATTAAAAAAGTCTCCATTTCTCATAAAGCAATCTAATGATGCTGCCAATATTCCTCCCATTCTTCTTCTGAACTCTTAAAGTAAGCTTTTATGGAACTTAGATAACAAAGTGACTTTTATAGCTATTCTGGTGATAAAAGGAGCCACTGTGAAACCAGAATGAGCAGCTTTATTCTTTGGCAAAACTATCATTTGGCAAAGCAACTGCATTTTGTCTGAAACACAGTATAATAACAACACTATTACATTTTTCCAACAGCTCCTCGTTGTTTATGTAACTGTGAGGCTTTCCATTGAGTGGATTACAGTTAAAAAACAGGACAGTTTGTGTTGCTTGAAAACACAAAAAGGTCAGAAATTCAAGAGAAGGATAAGTATAAATATTTTTGAAACTATCTAGACTCCAGCTGACCCTTTTTTCATGTAATTTAATACATTGATCATATCTAAAAAAATAGAAATGCTAACATTTAAATAATGCATTCAGCAAAGAAATGTGCTTTAAAACGAGTTATCTGATGATACTAACAATTCTAAAGTTACATTCAGCTTGTAGGGTTTTTCTAATACTGACCTGGTAGGCAATGTTGTGAATGGTGATGTGATGCATGGCGGCAGTGTCACTCTTAAACAAAGCATGCAGATAGGCCCGACTATGTCTGAAATAAATAATAACGTTGGAAAAAAAAGACGTTTGTGAATTAAATACATTTCAAAAATTTTCTGCTGACAATATGTCACCACTGACAGACATACATTATTAAAGTTTCAATGTAAAATAATCAGAAATTAAAAAGTAAAATTATACTTTAGCTATTCCAGCTTGAAATGTAAATGGCTTTTCATTCACTTGCCTTTTGCAAGTGGGACACTGGCAGTCAGGGTCTATAGGCTGAAAGTCTTTGGCATACTGCTTCTGCTTCACCTGAAGAGACCCCCAAGGTACCAAGGCAGAACCAAACCTCTGAGGAAAGACAGCAATCATGGTCACAGACAAACTTAGAATCACTTGTCAATGTGGATCAATCACCTTAAATAAAACATTCCAGATTTTCTTTAGCAGGTGAGGTGAAGGGCGCTTACTGCAGTACGGGTTGGGAAGACGCAGTCAAACATATCGCATCCCAAAGCGACACACACCACCAAGTCCACAGCATACCTGCCCCACATGAGGGATACACAGGTTCTTGATTAATGGCTCAATAGCAAATAAACAGCACAGTTCTTGAGTCGTGTGCATAAGAACACACCCAACACCCATCAGGTAGCGAGGCTTTTCTTGTGGCAGATGGTCAGTGCTCAGTGTGACCATCCGCCAGAAATCATCCTTCTCCTCTCCTCCACTCAGGCCACCAATGGCAAAACCCGGAACATCACGTTTAGTCATTTCTGCATGAAGACAAACAATGAGAGAAGGAATCTAAGTATTGTAAACTTCCAAGAACAATGAGTTTTTAAAATTTTCAATATGGGGGGGTTAACTTTATACATTTTCTTTTTTTTTACCATCCAGACAGGCCTTGCGCAGCTCTGCATCTAGTCCTCCCTGGATAATGGCAAAAAGGTTCTGCTTGTCTGGATGCTTATTTGCTGCTATACAGCGATCCAGCCAACGAATGGATCTATGCATGGCTTCCTCCACACGCGGTCCCTTCACAGTGCTGCTGACCACATCATCCAGCTGCATCATTATGTCTGACCCTGCAAAAGAGTCAGACATAATGAAAAGCACTGAAAAGCATTAACAATTAAAATGCTCTAAAACTAACTTATAATACTTTACATTCAGCTCACCCAGACTGTTCTGTATGCTAATGGACTTCTCAGGACTCAACAAGATCTCTTTGCCATCATATGGGGACTTGAATTTGACCCCTTCCTCTGTGACCTCTGAGAGTTCAACAAGAGACACCATCTGAAATCCTCCACTGTCCTGAAAGAAAAAGAGGAAAAAATAAAGTTTTTCACATAAATCTTATTCCATATCCCCTCGATATTTAATACAGGGCAGTACAGTATTGGAAAACTCTACAATTTGGGACATTACTTTTAAGTATTGTAATGACAATCATTTTTTCGTGTCATAACTTCCACTCTCTTTGCGACCCTCTACATTGGAGTAACTACTGCAGTAAGGCTTCAGTTAGAAACATTAACGCCAGGAAATTTGTCATTTCCTGACATTTTGATTGAATGGCTGGAAAATACTATATTCCAAACAGACCGCGATATTGATTTTGAGATGACAACATGTTTCCAACATATTTGTCAAAACTGCATGAGAATATTGTCTTAAAGCCAAAACTTAGCTCCCTAAATTTTTTTCAAAAAGTTCAATGTACACTTACAGTTAGAAGATTTCTCTTCCAGTTCATGAACCCATGTAAACCGTTGGCTTTCTCTATCAACTCAGGTCCCTGGAGATAGTGAAGTAAGAAAATACAAATTTACACACCCCTTCTAAAAGCACTAGAAGGCAAGGTGAAATTAACACTTTTGAGTTCTAAGCAAATGTATAAATAAAATGCAAACGTCGATACTTTAATCTACCTACCGGCCTCATGCCCAGGTGGTAGGTGTTTCCCAAGCAAATCTGACAACCGAGACCCTCCAGCTGATCCGCGGTGATCCCCTTCAGGGTTCCCTGGGTCCCAACAGGCATAAAAACCGGCGTGCTGACGCTGGAGTGAGGCAGAATCAGATCACAAGCTCTTGCTTTCGTCACAGGACATTCTGCAACAATCCTCAGAGTAAGAGGCGGGACGGCGGATAAAGTTTTCTTCAAAAACATGCTGTTTTCTTTGATATTTCCATCTGCTTCAGAGGTTATGGTGGCAGCCATATTCCTCCGAGCGTTGACATGAAGTGGAAACGACCGACAGTTGGTTTGACCAATTAGAAACGCGTTTCTTGCCAAGTTTGACGAGCACACCTTTAGAACACCCAATGAAAATATAGTTCTGAGGCGAGTCTTCTGGATTATCCAATAGACGTCTCGGTTTTGTAAAAAAAAAAAAAAAAAAAAAGTAGGTGGGTCTATTCTCACCGGTTTCGATCTGACGTCATCTCCTCAAACCGGATAGCGTTTGTGTAGAGGAAGTTTTTTGTTTTGCGAGTTTTCCGTCCGTTTCGACTCGCCGAGGTGCTAATTAATGCGCGTTAAAGAATACAAAGTTATGTTTATCTGAATTATTCTTATCAGACAGACGCACCGGTTTTCAGAGTGAGATTACAAGAAGCGAGCTGCTTGAAGCGACGGTGCTGAACACTTTCAGAGTAACCCGAGAGCAGCTCGCTGCTAAGCTAACATTAGCCTCCGGTCTGAGGTGTGTTGAAGGGCTCTCTGAGCTAACGAAGCCATGGGGAACCGGGGCATGGAAGACCTGATTCCCCTAATCAACAAGCTGCAAGACGCCTTCAGTTCAATTGGTCAGAGTGTCAATTTAGACCTTCCTCAGATTGCTGTGGTAGGCGGACAGAGCGCAGGGAAAAGCTCTGTCCTGGAAAATTTTGTTGGCAGGTAAGCGAGAATGGTTAGGTTAGAGATCTGTTGCAAAGAGCTTTCTCTTTCCTCTTGTTTGTGTTGGTGCATTCTAAAAATGCATGCTTGGTTGTAATAAGAGTATTTCGGCAAGGTATTTATCAAAAAGTTAAACTAACCTAGTTACGCGTCCTAGTACATGTTCAATGTAATGACTTAGGGCATGCTGTAAACCAGCCTTTCTTGTAAAGTGGCTTCACCAACCTTTCTCACTAATCAGGTTGTCAGAATCGTTTTCCTGTGATTCTTTTCCCCCCTTTGCATATTTAGTGCCACACCCTGAAATTTTGACAGGATTCACAGTAATCAGTAGTTGTTACATCTGTCAACTGTAAAAGCTCTTTCCTGTAGTTTTTTCTTTCTTTCAGGTAGTGCAGATGGAGAACACTTCTCTATAATGTCACAACTTTTTTTTTGGCCTGCTGATTTTTATCTTGACTGTTTTTAGCATAAAATTAAAGCCTACAGTCACTCTTTTTCAAATGTCAACATTTTTCCCCATGGCCCCACAACTGTAACAGACACAACTTCCTACACTGTCTTCCTCTTTTGATTCTGTTTATGGTTAGTGTTTAGTAATGAAGAAAATGGGAAAGACCTGTCTTTGTTGTTTGGAGGCTTTAAGTGACATTGCTTCCCTTCAGCTTGGCTTCCTCATCTTCCAACAAGTTCAGCCGTTTGTCCTCTTCCCCCATAAGCAGGCAATGAGGGTAAAAATTCAAACAAGTACTTTTAAAGGAACTTGTTTAGCAGGTTTCCGACCCATTCAGTGTTACATTCACAGTGGTGCACGGTCTATCCTGCACTGGAGAGAAAATACATGGGTGATAAAATGACATGCACACTGTCGGATAAAAGCTTATTCGAAACAGAACGTTTCTCTTAGGCAAGGGTAACTTTGCAGACTAATGTATTCCTACTTGTTGCACATTAATTCAAATTACTTGATGTAATATCATTCAGTACATAATAACTGTATTTCAGAGGGCTCTTACTTTTGAAATCTTTTTTCTGTCATTTCCATTTTTGATTTCTTTCCACTGTCTCTGCAGTGTTTAGAGTTGTTTTTGTTCAGTTCAGCTGGGTTTAAAATGCCCTTTGTTATTTTTCCTTTTATGCAGTAAAGAGCACTTTACAGCACCAAACATTATAACACAAGTACTCAGTTAATACTCAACCCGTGGTGTACTGGAAGTGGTGTGCATGTGACTTTGAGAGCAGGCAAGGTGAGTTGTACAAATCAAAGCCATCTGTTTAAGGTGGAGCCTTACTACAATATGGAAGTACTCGGGTGGTGCTCCACATCACTATAACAACAAGCAGGCTCATGAGTCACTGTTGATGTTAGGGTGTGTTTGAGCCCAGGCGGAGTCAATGACATAAATGCTTTGTCATGTGTTGAGGTAGTGTTTCTTATGCCAAAAGCTATTGTTTAATTGGATGCTTCAAGTGCATAACTTTGTTACTGTTGACCTATTGTTCACACTTTGACAATTTTTTTTATCGTTTTGTATAGTAAGATAAAAATATTTGTCCAAGAAAAAAGCCCCCATTTATTTTCTACAATTGAAATTTAAACATAGCATGTCATGACATGCATTTCAGACAACTAATCTGATCTTGACAGAGAAACTACTTCCTCTTTTTGTTTCGCCAGCTTGAACCTTTTGCTGACTTTGAGTTGGTATATTTAGAAGCTGTCTTGACCTACAGATGTACTCATTTCAAGAACAAATGTCTTGCACCAGTATTTTTGGTGCTGCTCAGATTTATTTGATTTCATTAGAAAAATGACAGTTTGACCAGAAGACTCCTTTGCTGTCATTTCTAGTATTAGTCCCATTTTTCATCCATGGATGTAGCCATGACTAAAGTCTTGGTAATCCATCTTCTTGAAGTAATTTAGGTTTGATTTGTTTATTAAGAGCCTTTTAGCCATTTTGCAGCCACTATTTTAAGGAAGGAACCAGTTCCTAGATTTCTAGTTTTTGATCTGGCTGCTGCTTTGGTAATTCTCTTTTTCTGATCTACATCAGTGGTGTCTGATTATTTCTTGGTTCATCAGTCAAACATGTTGTTGCTTAGAGGTGCAGAGGTTTGCTTGGAGTGAAAACAGCTAATGTAGGTTGTAAAATCAGTTTAATAACCAATGTTTTCCAGGTTTCATAGATTGGTTTCAAACACTGGCCTCTGTGTTCACAACATTTGCAGTTTTGTTGAAGCCTCACAATTAAACAAGTTTTTGTTAATGTTTTGGACCCACTTCCTGTCAAAACGTGGTGTTTTGCATAACACATTCACTGCCATGTTTCTGCTGTTCCAGTTAAAAAAGAAACATTAATTTTCAGATGTCACATCTTTGTGCTGTTTGCAATTATTTCCCATCATTGCACCAATGTTGCTATTTAGAGTCAAGTCATCTTCACAGCCCTAATTAACGATGCCGCAACTAGTTCACATACATATATCATTGAATATATTAGTCTGTCCACACATAATAGTTAGATTTTTATTTTATTTTCTCACAAAAATTTAACTACTATCTTCATCCTTTTAGCTCTATTTAGAGAATTGTCTGTTTAACTGTCTGATGAGCTGAGTTATTCAGGTTTTTAAACGTTCTCAAAAGTTGAATTTGTCTGATGTGTAGAATGACCTGGAGTTAGGTGTCATCATACAGGGGAAGTTGTTTTTTTTTTTTGCGTGACATATTCACTGCCATGTTTGGTTTTGTTGTGAACCAGAATATAAAGTAAAGCATGTAATACAAACTCATTCTCTGTTTTGAGTTTGCAGTAACAAGTATTTCTGTTGTTTATTTCCTCTTCAGACTTATAAACAAACAACAATAGCAGTAACATAGCAGTTCATCTTAGAAATGGTACCTTCCTGGCACAGCCACAATGCAAATAACCCACACCCTTAGCTGTATTTTAAATTATCCATTTTTGTGTTGCGAAGTCATCATACTTGGTAGTTTAGATATCATATCTGGCATTGTGGAATGGTCTGGGTAAAAAGTTATCAGATTTGTGACATAAACCATGGCAAACAAGCCCTGAAACAATTTGCATAGGTTTAGGCAAATTGTTTGTATAGCTGTAGGCTGCTGTTTGTGGGTGAGCCATCCAGCAGTTGAACTTTGGTGCTTTGCCCTGTTAACTAAAAACGCTGCCTTTGAAAATTGGAGGTGCACCAATTGCAGTTTTCTGGTCGCTCACCGATCTTTAAAAACCCTGACTTGATGATATCAATTATTTTTTCTTCTTTTATAACTGATGCTCCCAGAGGGCACCAAGAACTTGTTAAATCTAGCAACAAATTTACCAATGATGATGTGACTATTGTCACCCCAGGACTGTGCAGTGACTTTCTGGGCGGGTCTGTCAGTCATCCTCTCTCACTGCGGAGCAAAAGCAGACATAGGCAGATTTTCAGACCTTCGTGGAGTAAGATCGGTTTCATACGTAAGAACCATTCAATTTTCAAAAATTAAGTAAATAGGCACCTAGTTTAAATAAATGTCTTCAAAAGTGGGCATTATGTCATCTGTGTTTGGTACAGCAAACCTTCTCAGCTGAAAACATAAATCTATCATCCCTGAAGCTTGTGGGATAACAAAGACATACAAATAGTGATTGAAGGGATTTTCCAGTAAGCAGTTGGATTTTAGTCGTGTCTGAGGAGCCTTGGGTGCATGGGGTTGTCTTTTGGTTCTCACAGTGACTGAAGGATGTGGGAATGCGGGTAGCCATGATTATGTGTTCTTTGCCACTCTGATGGCCCATTGAAAGAGCTCGATCAAACCACAAACAAATTTCTGTGCAACCATGCTCTCTTGAGAGTTTAGTTTAACCTCAAAGTTTCTCACACTGGTCTTTTGGAAGCGTGTCATTGTGAGCCAAGTGTGTGCTGAAATAAAGAAACTTTCAGCTCTGAGCTGTAGCTGATTAGGGAGGCTGCCCTCCTCTCCTCTGATTTCTGCTTTCTTAGAGGGAGGCACACAGACTGATGCTCTTAGCTTGACTATAAATGATTGATGAAATGATACACAATCTGCTGAGCCTCCTCTATCATTTAAAGGCCATCAATAATGGAATCCTGACCGCTTGCTTCTTTTTATTATGCCACTGCCATTTATCCAATTCTCTCTACAAAAACCGAATGGCTCACTTCTGCCTTTGTGTGTCATTTCCACTGAGAAGACATGAGAGAACAACTTAAAGAATAATTCCTTTTTTGTGTTTACAAGTTTAAAAGTAATGGAGCTTTACTTTTTCATTATAAAAGTTTCACCCAAAGTTCCTGTTTAGCCTGGAAGGTTTAACTGTTAAAAAACAAAACAATGAAGTAACCTTGATTGTCAATACGCTCAAAGGATTTAGAAAATTAGGAATAATCTTCTCTTTTGAGCTGCCAATGTTTTTAGAGAGATCACTGTTGTGCTCAGAAAGCAGAAATGTTGGAATATTCTGACAGTTGTGCGTCTTTGTCTTTTTCCCTCGGCTGGAATTGATTTTATACTTTCTCTCCTTCTCCCTTGCTTGCTTACAAGCTTCACACTGAGCGTCCTATACTGCCAAACACGGACACAGTCTACGTGCTTCACACTTTGTCCATGACACAACACCAGTGCTAAACCACAGATGTGTGGCTTTTTGCTGACTAGTGCGTTTTTGTTCTGGGTACCATCCAGAAGGTTCTACTCTGTGTGACCACAGTCTGGGAGAATACCGTGGCAACTCTTGCCTGGTGGCAGACACATAGTATCTAATCTGAAATCAGATGGCTGGATGAACATTGCCTCATTCTCTTCAGTTATGTAGGTCTGGCTCTACTATGAAAATAAAGAAAGAATCATGTGGGTAGGTGCCATGCCTAGCGCTGCTATAATCATTCAGATTGAGTAATTTCCACCAGATGGATGTTTCTTACCGCAGCAAAAGGAACCGTGAGGCAGAGAGGAGGAATAAGTATCATCATTGGCTGGCAGTTGGAACCAGAAATTGAAATAAACTGAATAAATAGAAACATAATCTGATTTCAGATCAGACTAGAAGCCTATGTACTGTATATAATTCTGGTCATAAAGCTGAACATTGCAAAGAGAATATCGATTTCAATAAATCCTCAATTTTTCTGACTCTTCTTTCTTCACTTACATAATGCTTAGTCACTAAAAATATAAATTATAGGCAGATAGAGTAAAATATATGGGGGATACTCATCCTAGAAATGCCTGACTGTTGAAATATTACTACCTCAGTAATATTGCATCAAAGCAGGCAGCCCTGTGAGGTTTTGATAATTTGACTTTATTTATTTTGCTGCTTTAAATTAGCCTAAACCTTTCCTCTTTCAGATCGACTAGGATTTAAATATTTATATTTACAAAATACCAAAATAAGGAAGAATGTCACTTTAAGAGAATGTTTTACTTTTCTTAAATGTATGAGTTCACATATTTTTCCTTGGTAGTTTAAACTGTATTACTTGGGTTGAATATTTTGAGTAGCTGACTGAATATTTCCTACCTCAAACTAGGAAAGGTTTAGTTTGCTACCATATAAGATGCTGAGAAAACATGGAGTTTCAGCTGTATTGTTGTTTAAGTTACTTCACCAGTTCTTTGGTTTTTGGTTGGTAATGTAGCTCAGACTTGTTTTGATCTTGTTATTTATAGATGGTTATGTACCCTCAATGTTCACTTAAGTTTAAAAGTTGTTACTTTGGCAGAGAAGAAGCTAATATAACCATACCTGTGGTGTGTAGAATCTTCCTCTGAGCTTATTGGATGAGTATTAAAGACAGTAAATGACTAACTAGGCACAAACATACATTTTCCATGGTTTGAAATAGATCATTGCATCTCCAGCTTTTCTTTTTTTACTTTGAGCTGAAAGAGCAAAACTGAACCAAAGTTTTAGCTGCAGCTGAAGAGTTGCTTCTCTCTGAACTATTGGAAAAACCTTTATTTCACAATTCGCAACGTCTGGAAATAAGCAGTTAAAAAATTGCAACTTTTTTTTATAATTTTGCTTCACTTTCAGTTTATGATCATTTTAAAATTTTATATTTATTGTTATGCTAAGTGCTAATGTGCTTAAACTTGATAGTTCCTCTCATGTCAGCCATGTTTTGTGCAAATGACTGAACTCTTTCTTCCTGCCTGCCTGTGTTTCAGTGTTTCATTTTTTTCACCTGTAGTATTTGTTGTGGTTAGTTTGTGACTAAACTATTGTGTTGCGCACTGCTTTGCAGGTTGTATTTTGCAATTAGCCTTTTGCAAAAAAGTAGCCAACAGTAATCATCACATGCCAACACAATGTCTCAAGTCTGAGGGTGGTGCATGTATGGTTCATTGACACATCTCTCCCTGTCAGAAACCACAGTCGCAGTCTGTAAGCTGCGACAGATGTAAAACCAATGTACCTTTATAATTTTAAGTGACAAAAAAAAGAATAAGGTCATATGGCAAAACCTTGTAAGCGAGATATGTGATAATCATTTTGATAATTCAGTTATTTATACTTTAAACTTACTTGTTATTGTGCTACTATTTAAAATGCTTCATCAGGGCACCGCGCTCTGTTGTCACACTTCTTGCAGTTGTAGCTAAAAACAGAAGTGGTTCCGCTGCTAAGAGACAGTCAGCATTTAGTTTCTCCCTAGCTTAATTATTTAGATTTTTTTTTAAATTTAGAGTTGATTTAATAGAATTCAAATCAATTCAAATACTCCTAAAATAAAACTTGAAGGTTTAAGCCACCATCAGTCGCCTATTTGACTGATATGAAAAAAAGCTGTTGAGAAGCAGTTTTAAATAAGCATGTCAGTAATGCACTCATATTCATGAAGCATTTTAGTGACACGAAACCAGAACAGTGTCAGCATAATCAGTCAATTGTAATCACATTCAGAAAAATTAAAAACAATGTAAATTTCCTTTGTAAAAGTCTGTGTACAGTAATTCTTTGTCAGTTTGTTCCACATTTATTCATTTGTATATTTTTCTGCTGGCAGCGTAAACGCTGATCAAGCATGAAACTGTAACTTTAAAGGCAAACCTCTTAAAGTTATGGCGTTGCAATAAAATCCTCAGCAATTTAGAACTGAAAACCTTTTGACTAGATCAGCATAAAGTCTCAGTTAAGGCTTTAAAACAGTCACCTTAATCATTGTCAACAAAACTTTGAATCCATTCTTTGAAGCAAGGATATCTAACCACATAATTGAAGCACAATGATGATTGCTTGCTTTTTGTTCAGCTGTTAACATTAATGTTGTTGTCAAAGGCCATTAAATTGCACTGTAATCTGCAGTTTTACAGTTATCTCTGCATAGCACATTAGAGGCCTAGGTAAACAAAATAAAATACCTTTTATTATGATCAGCACTGTGTGAGCTGCAGTTTATTCCCTCTCACTCATTTTTGCTTCAACATTCATCCTTTGTGTACATCTGCTTATCTGTGGGGACCGGTGCCTGTTTCCAGCGGTGATTGGGTGAGAGGTGGGATGCACCCTGAATGTGTCCATCACAGGGTGACCAAATTGACTCCTGATGGGAATTTAAAACAACCGATTAATATCACATTTGTGTTTTTGTTCTGTAGCAGAAAGATGGCATATCCTATGAGAATCATTTAAAGATTTAAACTTTGAGTTTTGAGTTCGAGTAAAATGTTACAACTAGAATCAGCTAGGCTGACTTTGTAGTTAGCCTAGCTAATGCCTCTGTTTACTTATTTAATAAGAATTGCAATCAAAATTAGAACATAATTAGAGAGCTGTGTAAAATATTGCAGAATTTGTGTTTGAGTAAAATGTCCTTATTTTAGTAGGGAATTCAGCAAATGCATTGATCACTAAAGCATTAATAAAATTATGAAAGTCACATTTCATTTAGCAAGTTAGAGAATTTTTTTATTTTTTTCTTGTCAAATTATCAAAAGCTATTATACAAATTGGACTCTACTGTAATGAATGACTAAATGTTATTGCTTTGTTCTGTTTTTTGTGTTTGCTGCATTGAATTTTCTTTGTATTTATTTTTAGAGCTTTTGTTCTTCACCTTTCAGCTGTTTATTTTTTCTGCCTCTTTTTTGCTCAGGGACTTTCTTCCTCGCGGATCAGGCATTGTTACTCGCAGACCTCTGATTTTGCAGCTGGTCAATAACATAGCAGGTGAGTACGCCTTTCCGAGGCAACACAAAATCCCAATTTTCTTTCATCACTGCCCTGCATGGCCTCTCTCACTGTGCCTCAAGCCAGGCACCCTATTTGCTACTTTCATGTCTTGAATTTAATTTTCTCATTCTCCTCACTGCTTTTTCTGTTTTACTCCCTGCTTCTTATTTTTCTGCCTACCTCTTGCAAACTCATCCCCACTCTTCTGTGCAGAACATGCTGAATTCCTACACTGCAAAGGAAAGAAGTTTGTGGATTTTGACGAAGTGCGGGCAGAAATTGAGGCGGAAACAGATAGGATTACAGGATCCAATAAAGGCATTTCTCCTATCCCTATTAACTTGAGGGTCTACTCTCCGAATGGTAATAAAATTGTTATAATTATTATGCAAAGTCTTTATTATTAAACATGAACGTTTACTTCATGTCAGGTTATGGTAAATTTACATTATATCCTTGTTTCTTCCCCCTCTCTCACCTCCCCCTACCTCCCTCCCCTCATGTGACAGTTTTGAACCTGACTCTTATTGACCTCCCGGGAATGACCAAGGTTGCTGTCGGAGATCAGCCTGTAGACATTGAGCATCAAATCAGAGACATGCTGATGCAGTTTATCACCAAGGAAAGCTGTCTGATCCTGGCAGTCACCCCTGCTAACATGGACCTGGCGAACTCAGACGCTTTGAAGATTGCCAAAGAGGTGGACCCACAAGGTGAAGCATGTAGTTTTTACAAAGTTCAACACTGAAACATCAGACTTGCAACATAGCATTCACTTAGCAGTCCGGTACTTTGTATTTCCCATTTACACCACCAGTTGTTAGTTGTTTGCTCTAGTAGACTTTCCTTGATGAAAGGTAAAAATATTTGACTAAAACATGCTGCTCTTTATAAATATGTTCAGGTCTTCGCACCATTGGTGTCATAACAAAATTGGACCTTATGGATGAAGGCACAGACGCAAAGGATGTTCTCGAAAATAAACTGCTTCCATTAAGGAGAGGTCAGTATCGTATGGCACCCAGAGATATATTTACATGAAACATGTACAGACTGACTATATAATTGTTCAAAATGTGTGTACAGGTTACATTGGTGTGGTCAACCGAAGTCAAAAAGACATTGACGGTAAAAAAGACATCCGCGCTGCTTTAGCTGCAGAGAGAAAGTTCTTCCTGTCCCACCCCGCCTATCGACACATGGCAGACCGTATGGGCACCCCGCATCTACAAAAAACTCTCAACCAGGTCTGTGTCATTCTGTTTCTGTTTTGAAATTATCTCCTTGGTGTTCCATGTTATCATCTTCTAAAATACTATGACTACGGATTTGCAGCAATTGACCAACCACATAAGGGACACTCTGCCTGGGCTGCGCAGTAAGCTGCAGAGTCAACTCCTGTCTCTGGAGAAGGAGGTGGAAGAGTACAAGAATTTTCGTCCTGATGATCCAACTCGCAAGACAAAGGCATTGTTGCAGTGAGTGTAGCTTTTGATTTCTCTGTAGAGAGAAAATAATTAATGATTGACATTTAGTACCTAGAGATAGGGCACAGTAAGTGTTTAGTTGTACATGCCAAAGTAAGATTTTGGGTTATACTATCCCAGTACACAAATTTAGTAACCACATTAAGACACATTAAGGCAGCTTATTGAGGCATCCTTGACATTTCTTTATGCTTAATTCAAACATAAAGAAATGTTAAGGTATTGTAAAGTTTCACAATCTAAAATCACAGCTAGACTTTAAAGAGATCCAAACTCTTCTAAATGAATGATGTCTCAGATGCATAAAAAAATAGATAATTCTCAGACCTCCTGTCATTTGTGTTATAAATAAAGGATGGTCCAGCAGTTTGGTGTGGACTTTGAAAAATGCATCGAGGGATCTGGGGACCAGGTGGACACTAACGAGCTGTCAGGTGGTGCCAGGATCAACCGACTCTTCCATGAACGTTTCCCCTTCGAGCTAGTCAAGGTTAAGATCGATAGTGTGGATTTCCTTCTTAAGACTTTTTTGTAGTTTGTGTCTTGTCAAATGTACTTTAATTGTAAGGTTTATTAAAAGTCTTTATAATATAACTTGCTCTCCAGATTGTATTTGATGAGAAAGAACTGAGGAGGGAAATCAGTCATGCAATCAAAAACGTCCATGGTGTCAGGCAAGTACAGTCCAACTTCAAAAATTCCCAAGACAACACTTCTGAAACATATTTGGCTCTGAATACTGTTGTCCTTCTTTTGTCAGAGCTTTAATTCAAACAAACTAGCAGTACCAGCCGAATGTGATGTATTCAGAAACTGTCAGCTGTTCTATGAATTATGTTTTCCATTCTGCTGTTTCTTGGTGACTGCCTCTCAGAAATGCCACCCACTCATTTTCGGTTTGTCTCTACTCGAGTGTTCAGTTCATCAGGTGTTCAATAATGTTGGTCTCTGTTGTGTTTTGTATTATGAGCCATCTTATGTGCTGCAGTCATTGTTAACCTTGCATTGGCACTTCATATATTCACTCCATTTAGGTTGTCACTGCGTCAAACCTGTTTGTCTGTCAATTTAGATGTTTCCTCAACACCTGCTTTGTCATTTTGTTCCATTATACATTTTATTTCTGTTTTTTTTTTTTTTGCCCACATATCTGTTAACTGTTATGTGTGTCGGCCTCTGTGCCTCTGTCTCTGTGCATCCTCAGAACGGGGCTGTTCACTCCAGACCTGGCGTTTGAGGCCATCGTGAAAAAGCAGATTGTTAAGCTGAAAACACCCTGTCTCAAATGTATCGATCTGGTCATTCAAGAACTCATCAACACAGTCAGGCAGTGCACCAGCAAGGTACTGCAAGAGTCCAGCATCTCCCAACCCAGCCAAGACTCAGAGCAGGGACAACCACGGGCATAGCAGAGGGCATGCTCTCACAGAACATTAGCTGACTTAGACTTAGACTTAGACTTGACTTTATTGATCCCTTGGAAGACTCCCTCAGGAAATTATAGTTACCAGCAGCTCACAGGCAAAAATGTGGCACACAGTAAGCATACACTAAAGAATACAAAAAAATACAAATTAAATACAAAACAAAGAATATAAATACAACACAAAAGGAAATTATAGCAATTTGGTGGATAGATTGACCAGTGATATGGTATTGCACTGTATGGTTTGGCCTGATAAATATGGAGTTCACATTTGTAGAAAAACTACTCCTTCTTCCCTCTGTCCTGTGTCACCTCCGACCCCCAGTGAGGAGTTGTACAGTCTGAAGGCGTGGGGGACAAAGGAGTTCTTGAATCTATTGGTCCGGCACTTGGGAAGCAGCAGTCTATCACTGAACAGGCTCCTCTGGCTGCTGATGACGGCATGTAGAGGGTGGCTGCTATCGTCCATGATGTCCAGCAGTTTGTTCAGTGTCCTCGCCTCTGCCACCGTCACCAGAGAGTCCAACTTCATGCCGACCACAGAGCCGGCACGCCTGATCAGTATCTAGATTTAGTTTCTATGCTTTAATTGAGGAACGTCCCATGCAGTTTGCCCTCTGCCAGCCCGGCCCTGAAAGCTGAGTTCAGGCAGCGCTGTCGTGTTGTGGAGTGTTGTGACGGGTGGTGTGTTGTGATGGTTTAGAGATGTTTTCAGGACCGAGATTCTGCTATCTCTGTTGGACAAGCTGCAGGTCTCACAGCTCAGTGCATGTAACCAGCAGAATACAATGTCTATCTTTACCACCGAAGTTTAGAAGAAAGTGGATCATTAGGGAACAAAATGTGAATTACCTGCAGCTTCTCCTTCACTGTTTGAGTTCTTTCTAATCAACTAGAAAATGGCTAACTGAACAAATGCTTCCTGTCTTCTTCCTCTCTGTCTTTCCAAATGTTCCTCTTTCTTTTTATTTCCACCCCCTCCCATCACCTTCACAACAAATTGCCAAACTAACCCTGTGACCTTTCAGAACGGGGCTCTTCACCCCAGACCTGGCTTTCGAGACGATTGTCAAAAAGCAGATCCGCAAACTCAAAGAGCCAAGCCTCAAATGTGTGGATCTTGTGGTGACTGAACTCACTGCTCTCATCATGAAGTGTGCCAAAAAGGTAACCAGGGATGAATATCACATTATAATGCCATGATGGGAGAAGAAATATTTTTTTTTGTCTATGACTGCCATTGAAGTCCAGTTTTCATTCACTGCTGATCATTGCTTTGAAAGTCTGCATCGCCCCGTTTTTCCTCTCTATTGATGTTGCAGTACCGTTGAATATAAATATTTTTGTGCAAATTGTCTCCCATCCGACTCATTGTGTACATTTTTCTGTACCTTTGCATCAGCTTTTCAGGTGTATTTTTTTCCCCACTCCCACTCTGCTTCCTTTTTGCCGTTGCTGTTTAAGAGCCGACCGCCTCGGTTCTGTGTTGCACGCTTGTTGACCCACACAGCAAAATGACTGCCATTCTGCTGTCACCTGAACTGGAAAGAAATTGAACTGATAAGAGGGGTTAAAAGGAGTATTACTTCCAAAACATACCCTCTGTGGCTTCTTGGACAAAAGCACTTCATTTGTAACAGTGCATCACTGCCATCTTGTGGACAGTTGAGGGCCCGACACAGTAAGAAATGCCATATGATGAATAGTTAGCCAAAATTACCTCTTCCCTGCCTTTTGGGTTTCCTCTGCCTCAGCCCAGACTGTCCTCTATCATCTGGTCTTTGCTAACATTTGTTTATTCAAACTTGTACTACCAGTCACAGATGACAGTTTAAACATTTATTGGCATGTCTAAAGTTCATACTTATCAGTGAATTGCTACCAATGTATGGTTTAGACTAAATGTTTCTTGATTAGCATAACTAATCATGTTTAAGGTCATCTTTGACTGATGGTATATAGCCTCTAACACCAATAACCACCAGGTCTTTACAATATGTGGTGTGTTTGTGTTGGATTGTGGTTGCCTGCATTTGTGTGACACTGAAATGTCACTTGACAATGTTTTTACTCTTTTCTTTGTTTCCTACTTATTTTCACTTCTCACTCCTGTTTTTCTCTGATTCTTGTTGGTAAGTCCTACTAAGGTAAAGCTTAAATGTAAGTGTGTGCGTGTGTGCGTGAGTGTGTATATGTCTGTATTTTTGTGTTAAATGCTGCAGTTACATGATGCGTTTCCTTGCAGCTCAACTCCTACCCCAGACTGAGAGAGGAGACGGAGCGGATTGTCACCACCCACGTAAGAGAAAGAGAAGGGAAGACCAAGGATCAGGTGTGTTGCTAGGCTTTTAATCCAATGATCCAGTGCCTCATTGATCATCTTGATCAGTTCATTGTGTTGCCCAAGGGCAACTTGAGACGTTACAGGTCCTGGCATTATTCTCCATTGTTACCATTGGGCTTCTGAAGCAAAGCTTTAAAAACATGTTTTAAAAGGTTTTGTGAGGAAATTGGGGATCTTTAAGAGTAAGAGCGCAAAAACTACAGCAGAGTTTATATACTAACAGCTAGGAAAACAATGTTTGTAGAAGAGCAACTTTAATTGGAAATCAAAGGAGTTGCTTGGAGAAACTCTGATACTAACTGTGCTGCGTAACACCAGTGGATGAGTGACGCATTTTGATGTTTTGAGAAGGATTTAAAAAGATTCATAAAGTCTATATTGGCAGCAGTGAAGTAATAAACAAACTCCGTTTGAATGTTAGCAACTTGTAGATGGCAACATTGGTTTGTTGCATCAGTCTGAAATTAGTCAGAACTCATAGTAGTAAGATGATTCTGGCTGATCACTAAAGACTGTGTCACAGAATCACGAGAGAGTCAACTAAGCTGCTGTTGAATAAACAGACAAACACAGAATGATCCATTCTTGGATAAACTGTGAAAAAGGTCTCGTACCCTTCTCTGTGAAATGATGGGAATTAATATTCCAACAGAGGATAAATTTCCGATTTGAATGACAGTGTAGTTTAACTTTGTGAAATAAATAAAATTTTGCAGAAAATACAGAAAATAAAACTCAGACCACTTTTCAAGCTTACATTATAAATACACAGTAAATATTTGTTCAGTAAAATAACAGATCTGAAAATTTGACTCGGGAAAAATGTTGAAATTTTAAAAGAAAAATTGTATAGGAAACACTTTATTTCAATTGTAAATAAAAATATTTCTCATTTATCTTCTGCTTAATCTGGTTTTAGGTGTAAATGCATGAATTAATACAACAATTTAGACTCAGTGATTCATCTTACTTATGTTGGTTGTGGAAACAGTGCATTAAGAGCTGTGGTGCTCAAATGAGCCCCCACATTAAAACCTTGTTTACTGGTAAAGGCTCCCTGTGGTTAAAATAAATGGTTTATGTTTATCTCCTTTAAAAAGAAGTATGTAGAAACAGCTGACATGGATTTTAACTTTGACTTTAAATGTGGTAGTTCAGCATATGAAGGATGATAAAATGAAATTTAAGGTAAAATCAGTAACTGACATCCACATTGCTTGTTCGCTGCTATGAGTCATCAGTTTCTCAATTTGCTGATCTTCCAGTGGCAGTGTGAATGGAAAAAACTCTACTGTGAACCTTTTTAACTCCACTTATGTTCCATCTTGCATTCATCAGTAGATGGCATTAAAAACTCTGTAGCTGTTCCCTCTTAGGGCCAGAGACAGATGAGGTTGTGTCCGCCTGCAGTTATCTACAAATAATAATTATAATTACTCCACTTTCTATTCCGTTTGCAACAGCCCAGCAGGGAACATTTGAAAGATGAAATGGGTTCTACTAAGTGCAAATTGAATATTATATGTATTTTATCACAGGACGTGTACTCAAGAGCACTGTTTGTGCCCAATTCAAAATCAGGAATTAAATATGTTTGGCAATATTTGGGTTATTCCTCCTTTCAGTTTTTATGCAAGTTCCAACATGAGTTTAAAAATATTAATTTTGTGAGATTCTTATCTGTTCATTCGTTAAAAACAAAATATTTGAGTAATCAGCTGTGCAGCAAAGACAGAAAACGTGTCTTTTATTTGGTTGCCTTTTCAGTATGTAAAATGAGAGAAGGCAACTTTTCTTACACAATTTGAGACAATTTCGTTCTTATTTAATTCATTCTAAAAACAAATAAAACATGAGTGATTTCAGTAAACATGACAGTAACAATGTCTCAAACAGTGATTACAAAAAGTGAGTAGCAAAACTTCTGGTCAGGATCTTGGCAAATTGGAAGATTTATAAACTGAAACCTTTGAGTAATACTGTTTTCTCAACTCAACCTCAGTGCTGGAGTACGCAGCCATGATATCACTTTTACCTGATGGATTTCAGTTGGTTTGTCTTATTTGAGCAAGCTTGAAACATCAGATGTGAGACTCTTCACTTTCTAATTTGAGGCTTGCCGTAGTATGTTAAAGTCATCTCCCTCCTAATCTAATTTCTTTCTGTTAAAGGTTCTTCTGCTGATTGACATTGAGCTGTCTTACATCAACACCAACCATGAAGACTTCATAGGCTTTGCCAAGTATGTAATCATCCTTCCTTTTAGTTTATCTTACTGCTTAGTGTCTTGAACCCAGCCCCTGTACTTCTATGATTATCCTCTCCTCATCAGAATGAGTAATGAATCTAAATGTCACCAGTAGTTATACACACATTGTGTCTCCCTGAGGAGGGAGGTGGATGCCACAATAATCAAAAAATTGCCCCGCTGATCAAAGTTCCTTTATTTGTGAGTTCCTTTCCCCTTTGCATGAAACAATCCCATCCTTCCCCAAAAGTCAAACTTTTCTTGGAAAAAAAAGTTCCTATTTGCATCATGTTGTTGTTAAAAAAGCATGCTTGTTGAACTCAACGAAAGAGCGGCGCTCGCAATTTTTATCTGTTCCTGCTTTGTCTGGAAACTAATTTGCACACGGCATAGCTTTCATGTTTTTTGTGGTGTATCTCAAAGCAATCTAGAGTTTGCGGGTGGTTTCATGTGCTTCCTCGTGCAGCAGTAACAGTAATTTATAGTTGAGTGAAGCTCCTCTGCAGTGTGGATTTTTTTTTCTGACAATGTAACAGAAAAGTCCCTTTGGGAGCATGTGTCAGGGTTTATGTTTTGCCTCTGCATGGCAAGGGAATTGACGCATTGCATCAAAGGTCAGCAAGAGCAGTTTAATGGTTTTCATGACATCACTTTCAGTCTTGACTACAGAAGGCTGGATGATGGTAGCTCCCCAGGGTACAGCAACAACAGGTGGGCATACGGGAAAGATTCAAGGTTTTGTTTGTAACACAAGTGCATTGAAATAAATATAAATTAAAAATTAATTTATTTCACTGCATAATATTAAAGACATCTCACAAAGAATGTTAAAACATTCAAGAGCAACAATATTTGATATTGTGTGATATATATATTATATATATATATATATATATATATATATATATATATATATATATATATATATATTATACAGAAATGTTTTATGGTATTGTCTACATCTTCTTATGGCACAGTATAATTACTAGATAAATGCAACGTGGAGTGGAGGCGATCAGAATGTGGTTATGCTCAGGAATCCCCGATTGCTTCTGATTGAATTGTTTTGCGTGTTTTATCTTTCTCTTGACAATACTTCATAGGTTCTCTTTGTTGACATTGGTCAGGCTGGTTTGCTTGTCAGTGGTCTTTATCTTGATTTTGACTACCAAAATATATTGAAAAATGTTTCATAACATCAAAAGTTTTCCTTAAGTGAAAGCAATAATCATAATTAATGAAAACAAATTTCAGAAATGTTACTCCGGGTTTAGCAAATACATGAGTTTCACTTTTGAATAATTGGTATAGGTGAACTTCTTAATATTGTAATTTATTAAAATGCACCTGTGCATCTCAGAGTGCACAAATATTTAAAGCTTTTTAAAATTCTGTCTAACTTTGTGTTTTTGTTGTGAAATAAACAATTCAGACTTCTTTAAAATCTGACAGTTGATTTTCTTTCATGATAGAAAGCCAGAAGAATAAAAACAGAAAGTAACTGTAGTGTTATTTAAAAATGCATTGTATAGGAACTGTGCAAATGTTTCCATCATTGTTGTGTGTTTTCTTTGTGTGCAACAGCGCTCAGCAGAGGAACATTGCTGCAAACAAAAAGAGGGCAGTACCCAACCAGGTATGTTTTGATACTTTGATTTGTCCTTTTCTCAAATCCCATCTTTTCACAGATACATTGTTTTACATAACCTAATTAATCAAATTGTCAACAACCCACAGCCAATAATCAATTTCTTCCTCTGGTAATATTACCACCCAGCCTTTTGTAGTCCTTATGTTTATCTATTTAACATTTTAAAGCCGATATTTGTCTATTATTTAATGGTTTTATATCAACTTGTTGATCTTTTTGAAGGCACCTTTTTAATGATGATGGTTTAAAGGGAGAGCAGTGTTATTTAGTATGAGGAAGACCCCACACCCTGCTTTCTGACACAAGCTTATCTCTTCAGGATCAACATAGATTTTCTGCATGTGATCCGGGCATGTTACATTAGCACAATGATCATTAATAACAGAATGGTGTTTGTTTTGCCTTCCCATTAACTTCCAAGCATCTTTGTGCTCATTAAAATTCAAGATGTGCATGGATATCACAACAATCATCTGAACAATTATGTCATAACCAAATTGTGATATATCTTGAAGTAATTTTAATTGCATGTAATTCTTTTGCTCTGTCTCTCTTTCTCTCCCTTTCTCTGTCCTTTTTTCATTCTTTTCTCTGGCTGCCTCTTGGATTTCCTGTTTTCTTGTTCCTTTTTCCTCTCTTCTACTATTCTTACTTTTCATTCACTTTCACCTCTTTATTCCTCACTTCTTCTACCTATCTACTGATTTCCAATTTGTTTTTGGCTTTGATTTTTACACTACCCCTCTGCTTTAACCCCACTTCCCTTCCTATTACTGCAGGGTGAGATTCTGGTAAGTACCCCGCATTAAACCACACCCTGCCAGGGGCAGCAGGGGTAGGCCATGCAGAAGAACTGAGGCCGTGTCAGTAAAGGTCAGCCAGTTCAGTTAGCGTCAAACACAAACTCCTAAGAGATACCTGAATGAACGTTGGCTTCTGTGTAAATAAAAGGTGACGCCGTCACTTTAATGAAATGTTTTACCCTTCTGCAGCTTGCCGGTTTAGGCGAGGCCCAGGAAGAGAAGGTAGAGTCTCCAGACTTACAAAAGTGTCACCAGTTGTAATTCCAACTGTGGTGCACAGCTACCAGTAATTTGGACTAACACTTTATTTATTTAAACTTAAAATGTTTTTCTTTTAGAAAGCAGTAATTGCCAGTAATTCTACTAACGATGTTCAAGTGTAAATTTTGAAAAGGCTCTTAATTTATTGTTGTAGTATACTACAATCCTACGTTCTCTCTACTGAGGACAAGAGAGAGGATGGAGAACCCTACAGCCTGTATTTGTGGAGGTGTCAGTTCCTCTGTCACTTGGCGATTACCTCTGCTGCTGCCTCATGCATGGTGATCCAAATGTTTGCCTTGTGAGAACCGTCCTGAAGCTCAGTGGGGGAATAATGGGACCAATCAAATCAACAACATACCTAAAAAGTTAATTTTTTTCATTTGAAAAACAAAAAATTCTTTCTTTAATTTTATCCAAAAGTTCTAACATTTTTACTAACAAAATCAAATCTCTGATGATAATTTTTTATCTCATCAAATCTGTTTTTTAATCAATCTGATGACTTGTCATGGCTTTGGGCTGTATGCTAATGGATAATACAAAATAAATCATCGTTGACATTTCTTCGTTTTATTTTCGAAAGTTTTATCAAGGCAAACCTCATGTTTATGCACAATACATACAAAAAGTCCACATACCCCTAAAAAAATGCAAAGTTTTTGTAATGCAAGGAAATGAGACTAGCAAATCACTTTAGAACTTTTTTCCACCTTTAATGCAACAGATAAACTCAATTGGAAAACAAAAAATCTTTTAGGGGGAATAATAATACTGTGGTGTCATAAGTGTGTGTACCCTTAAATACTTTATTAGATACCTTTACTTCCCTAATGAAAAGGCTGGCTCAGAGCATTATGCACAACTATGTGTATAATACATTTTTGGCAGTTTTTGCTCCAAAATACTTTTACTTTTTCATAAAACACAGGTTTTAACTGACCAGTAACACATTTTCCTACTTGATTTCGGAAAACCAAAGGCTTGTTTTCACAGATTTTAGCTGCCAGGTTTGGATTCTTTTTCTCAGTTAGAAAAGATTTCCGCCTTGCTACCTGATGACTGTCTTACTGTTCTAAGATGTGCCTTTGAAAGCTGTTTGTGCCCTGCTGCCCTGATTCCTCATAACTATTTTTACAGACCCTGGGTTTTATTGTTGGCTTGCTGATGAAATTTTAGGGAAAGAAAGGGGACTGAGGGGGGATTACAGCTCAACTTTATGTCAGGTTAAGTAGAGGCTGTTGAAATGATGGCTGGTATATTGATATATAGTGAATATATATCAATATAGGACTATATATCAAGTTATGAGGGTGTACACACTTATGCAAACACAATATTTTACTACTTCACAAAAGATGTATTTTTCAATTTTGCAGGTTTTAAATCACAATGAAAGTGATTAAAAAACCAAACGATTTATTGTGGTCCCATTTCTTTCCATATCTCAGAAACTTTTAATATAGAACTTGGAGCTTTTATGTCCCCCGCACATGTCTTATGAAGCATTTTTGTTGTTGATCTCACATGTCTTCCAAAGTCTGCCAGCTTTAACTAACCAATAAATCAGCAACATTTTTGAAGAACGAACATTTGTAAAAGGAAACAAGAGCATCTATGACTCCCCTATTTATCGTACACAGGCTGACTGTAAAACACAGGAAACAATATTTCCAACTGACTGGATTTGAAGAATTTTTTCTTTTTTTCTTTCATTTCTGTAAAGCTTGAGTCATTTCTCTCCAGGAACTCTGTTACCTCCTCTCCCATATTGATATTGGCAGTTTTACACCAAGTAAATAAGCTCCCTCTCTGCCTCCACCATCTCCTACTGAAGTTCTCTTCTGAATGGAGAGAAGTTGTACAACTGACGCCTGAAGAAGGATTTGACATTACCCCAGACCCCCCAGCTTTTTTTTCCACAATATACTTCCTGATATTGTAGTAGGAGTGCATGGGAGTCGATGTAGAAAGATGTGATTATTAGAAGAGCTTTTAAAACTAAATAACTGTTTTTTCTAAAATAACCTGTTACAGTTAACTGCTTCTGTCTCGTCCTCCTTCGCTCAACATGTAACCAGCCGCTGTTTAGATTTGTGTTCGTCTGAAAATGCAGCATTTGTCGACTCAACTAACACATTCGTTCTGAATGCTTCTGAAGGAAAGCTGTTTAACATTTTCTCTGTGTAATCGAGCACCTCTGATCCTCTCTGATTAATTTCTTACGCCGCCGTCGACCTTTTGTATTTGCCCCTAAATTGGGGCGGGCATGCCCTGGAAAGCATCTCATTTTCTTGGTTTGATTCATTTTCTGTTGAGTAAAACATAACAAGGCTTTCATTTCTGTTCAGTAGTATCAGTCTGGATATTTTTAACATCTAACTTCCCATTCTAAGATGCACATTTTACTATCCTCTGATTATTCCATCCTTTTTGCACTTCTGTCATAGGAAGTCCTAACTAATCCTGAAATCATATTTAAATAACATTTAATTTAAAAAAGTAAACAAAACTAGTGTTTAACCACACAGGTAAGTCTGTGTTTGAATCAATAATTCATCAATTTTAAATCTTACTTTCGGAAAAGCTTAACTGTTTCTATTGTTTCCCCATCTCCCTGCAATCCTTGTCTCCTCCACACGATCCCTTCATTGTGCAGGTAATCAGGAAAGGCTGGCTAACCCTCAACATCAGCATCATGAAAGGAGGCTCCAAGGAATACTGGTTCGTGCTGACGGCCGAATCTCTATCCTGGTACAAAGATGAGGAGGTGAGACGAACTGCTGCTTCAACGCCTTCTTTAATGTGACAGAAAGGGGTACATATCGGTTAAATTGCAGGAAATGGTGACAATGTTACAGACCGTATATATCCTTATGTAGGTTTGTTGTCATCAGAAGTGAGGAGCTGTGTGCATCCCAGCCTGGCCTAACCAATGTGCAGACTACTGTTCAGCTGTAGCTGTAGGAACAGGTAGTCTGAACACTGGGCAGGCTGGGTGGGGGGTGAAAAGGACTGAGAGGAAGGACCCAGAGGTCATTGCGTCCGTAGGTGGCTACACGAGGACTGAAGGACAGAGGACAGAGGACAACTAGCTTAAATATTATCTACTAGTCAGACAGAATAAAATGACTTAAATGACAACTGTTTATTGTACAGAATAAAGTGTAGAGCACACACATTGAGACACTGCTTCAATATAAATCAGTGAAAACTGCTTTTTAAAATCTTAAGTCAGCAGCAATTTTGAGCATTAATCGGTAAAGAATCCAAAGAAATATTACAGAAAGATTTTAAAACTATTTTGCCTTCAATTCAAAGTTGTCATTGTTATTGCTTACTCACCACTCGCTCTCTCTCAAGCCTTCGTTGTCTTCTTCCATCAAAAACACAATCTAAAAAAATATTAAAGAATTGATTCAAATTAAAAAGTGAAAAAGCTGCCTCTTTGTCTTCGTTTACTCTTCCTTTCACTGGCTTTCTTGCGGAAAAGCTTGGGTAATAAGCGGGCTAGGATGGTGTAGGCAAACTGACGTGGCAGCCAAGCTGAAATGTTCCAGCCGGGATCTGACTTTGGAATTTGCAGGAAATCGTACTGGGTTACGGGGGCCGGAGGGGAGGGGGTGATTGTGTGTACAAGTGTGTAGGCGCTTGTCCTCAACTCCCGCTGGGTGTTTGGGAAGCCGGACTTAACTCTACAAGTGTCTTCATGATCACACTCTGTGTTCACTTTATGCCTTTGTCCGGCTCTTTCCACCACATGTGCATTTCGTTCCTTCTGCACATAAAACTAAGGATTTACTCCAATGTGTGTGGATGTGTGGTGAGGGAGGGGGATTGTGCAGATCTTTGAGTGATGTAACTTTTGGGCCTGCGCCACTCTGTGTTAGTGCAGATGTAAATGCTTCCAGATGTCTCTGCTCAGCAGTGAAAGCTGGCACCCCCACCCTATCCCCCTAGAAACTCCTCCTTTTCTTCCTCCTCATTTTCATCATGCATTTCTCCATCTCGCAGGCTCTGGGGGTGGTCCACACTCAGGAAATGCATTCTTTCATGTTTGCTCATTGGTTACTCTGTAGTAAAGCTGGTTTACTTTTTTTAAATGATATTTTTACATTGAATATGTTAAGGTTTAAATGCATCCTTGTTATTTAAATGTTTATTTTTGTATATAATCATAAGAAGACGAATGGAATAAATCAAAAGAAAGCGAAGTACATATTCTTAATATATATTGTTTTTTAATCTATAGTTAAGCCATATTAAATAAACATGGTTAAAAAAAATAAATTTATTAAAAATAAAAAAAAACATATACAGTTAACTATGCTTTTTCCCACATGACCTTCATATCCAAGTACATATGAAGGTCATATCTACTTGGACACAATTTTTAGATAAGATTGCACAAAAACATGACGAATGGTAATTTCCACTTTTAGATATATTATGTTACCAATAATGAGGTGGCTGTGGAAATATGTGCATCTGCCCAGCACATATTTACCGGCATACATATCTTTCTACAGTTATGGGATCATTGAGGAGACCAGTGGAGGATGGAGGGAAATGGTGAAGTGTGATGAATAAATAATGCATTCATGTGTTTGTAATTACATGATGGAAACTTGTGCATGAATACCTTTTACAGCAATTGCTTTCTTCCTACAGATTGCGTGATTAGAAGAAAACATGACTTTAGAGATCAGATGCATCTGGTTTTGATTTGCTTTTGATTCCAAACCGATATGTTTATTACCTGAGAATTTTTTATTCAAAATACATCTCGTATTTTATCTGCTAACCATTACTTTGGCATCATGATCTAATTTAATTCAAAGTAGGATAGGCATGAACTGGATTCTGCGAAGACCTAATTATTATCAAATGTCTATAAAGACCTTGATGAGTGATTTTGTGGAAGAAATGGCCTGGCATTCATAGATTCATAACTTCAGCACACTTTAATACCTTTAGGATAAATTAAAGCATTGACTGTGAGCCAGACTCAGATGTGGTTCTGGAAGAATGATTAAAAGAAATCCACGTGAACACACTCCTAAAACGTTTGGAAAACCTTCTTCCCAGATGATTTGAAGCTGCTAAGGTTAGGTCAACATATCAAACCCTGTGGATTAAGAATGGCAGAAAAGATTCTTCTTCTATAACCCATAAAAAGTAAAAGTTTAGATACCAAACATCTTAGTAGTGAAATAATTTTAAAAATAATGCTTTGTCCTTTCTTCAGAACCCAATTTCAACTGCATGGTAACCTCATGGAATAGCATAGAAATCAAAATGATTAAGAAGATGCTGTCTAAACAGTTTTCCTTATAATTGAAGTAAAAAAGATATATAAAAATTAACAAAATGTTGCCCCATTTACCAAGGCTGTTTTTAACTTATTTGCAACAAGTGAAATTTTATCACTTTGTTTAATAGATTAAGATTAAACGGATGCAGTCATAGATATTTGAATGTATGAACTCAAAATGTCAGCACCTGTGTCTGTAAAGTTGTTTTTATAGTTTGCATTGTATTTTCTTACATTTGTTCTTCGTCTTATTTAAGGAAAAAGAGAAGAAGTACATGTTGCCTCTGGACAACCTGAAGCTCAGAGACGTGGAGAAAGGCTTTATGTCCACAAAGCACATCTTTGCAATCTTCAACACTGAACAGAGGTCGGCACATTAGTTTACCCCAGCGGATGCACATCAATATTATCCTATTGATTTTGGTTCTCTTGCATGGCGTAATGTTAGATATAGCCTAAAGGAAAACTTTATCGTTTTTGTTTGTCTGAACAGAAACGTCTACAAGGATCATCGACAAATAGAGCTGGCCTGTGATTCTCAGGAAGATGTTGACAGCTGGAAGGCGTCCTTCCTCAGGGCTGGGGTTTATCCTGAAAAAGACCAGGTATGACTAATGATTTACCAACATTGGTAACTCTTGGACTCCAACTCGGTACTTTTATTTGATATTACGTAAACAAGGTAATAAAAGACTAATAATTTGTTTTTAAGACTGGACATTTCTATTCAAATGATGCCTTTATAATTCTGTAAAATATAGTATTCCAGCCCTACTCTCTTTTTCTAATGGCTTCTTTTGGCTAAGGTGGAGAACGAAGAGACGGCACCCACAGACACGTTCTCCATGGATCCTCAGTTGGAGCGGCAGGTGGAAACCATCCGCAACCTGGTGGACTCGTACATCGGCATCATCAACAAATCCATCAGAGACCTTGTCCCCAAAACCATCATGCACCTCATGATCAACAATGTGAGCGGAGCCAGCAGAACTTGCAGGCGAAGGGCGTTATGTCTCATATGTGGTTCAGCCAGTTGACAAAAGACAAACTCTTATCTTGATCCATTTAATTGAAAAATATTCACACAAACTAAAAGGAAAATCATATGTACTGCAACTCTGAGAAATTGGCATAGAAGTTTAGTTTTTGTGATTCAGAGTGCAAAGGAAAGCAGTAAAAGGAAACTCTCTGTCCATTCCTGATGGTCACATCATAGTCGTCCCTATTATAACACATCTACAATATAAGTGCTTTTCTCACTATTACTGCTTCCTTAAACATATTCAGTTTCAAGTTCTAGTTTCAAGTTCTAGTTTCTTACTCCAGAAAATTCAATAAATATTTTCTCTTTTGGCTTGTGTTGCTCTTGTGAAAGTAAATTCTTGTCATTGTGACGATCCTTCCAGGCGAAGGATTTCATCCACTCTGAGCTTCTAGCTTATCTTTACTCATCGGGGGACCAGAACAGCCTGATGGAGGAGTCGGCTGACCAGGCCCAGCGCAGGGATGAAATGCTGCGCATGTATCACGCCCTCAAGGAAGCGCTGCACATAATCGGCGACATCACCGCCAACACCATCTCCACGCCAGTTCCACCACCAGTAAACGACAACTGGCTCCAGGATTCCAGGTTGTTGTTTAATCAAACAGTTTTTATTTTAGCATCAAATGATTTGCTATTTTAGCGTTGGCTACATTTAAATATATGTATCTGTTGCAGCCCAACCCCTCAGCGAAGACCACCTCCTTCATCGTCCCAGCCCCCCAACCGCCCTCCCGCTGTTCGGGGCTCGACTCCAGGGCCCCCCATGAACCCCACCCCAGCCTTTAATCCCTCCCCAGCGTTTGGTGCCCCTCCGATCCCATCTCGCCCTGTTCCACCCGCCGGTGCCTTCAACAGCAGCCAGGATCCGTTCAGCGCACCACCACAGATCCCCTCCCGGCCGGCCCGTGTCCCACCCGGTGTTCCCAGGTGAGACTTTGATCAAAGATTAATCACTAATCTTGTTGCACTTCATGTACAACATTTTATCACCAACATCTAATGATAATGTCTTTCTAAAGTTGGAAACATTTAGTATCGTTTCCCCCCAGCCCCATCCTTTTCCTCCACCTTTATCGCATTTCTTTGAACTCATTCTTGTCTTTTTATTGTTGGTTTCCTCTTCCTCTCTGCCTCTTGTTTCTTCTCTCTTTGGGTTTTTTGGCTTCATCACTGTCTCTTTGTGAGCGTGTCTCACACCTTGTCTGTATCTTCTCTCCCTGTTGCAGCCGAAGACCCCCTGGTGCCCCGTCTCACCGGCCCACCATTATTCGTCCTGCAGAGCCTTCCCTGCTAGACTAGACCTGTGGCCAAGCCCACCCTAGCATGCTTTTTTGTTCCTACACACTGTTGGCCTGGAATGGAGGGGGTGAATGGGAGGGGATGACTTAGTGACGTGTACATTACAAGCAATGTTAATAAGCTGCTAATACTTTCTATTTACATGCACATGAAGCAAAAAAAAAAAAAAAAAAAAAAAGAACTTATCACTTAAATTTTCCATTTCCCTGCCATGTTTTCCAAACTAAAGCCCATCAAAGCCTTTAGCAAACATTTCAAAATCATTTCAGATTTTCTTTTACATGTTTTTTTTATTATTCAAATGGTTGTCAGCCACACGCTACATAGAATATCATTTTCACGGTGTCTCCCCTCCTCTTTTCCTCCACTCCCTCCATTTTTAGCCCCAGATACTCTGTGTATAGAATACATTATTGTCGATGTTTTACTGGTTTTTCACATCCCAACTCATTTCATACTGAAAACAGTTACTTGACATGACAGTGGTGTCTACGGTGGTGTCAGTTATGAATAATTTGTTCTTGTGTTGTTTTCATTTGAGTGACTCTTTCCTGATGAGCATTATAATTGTACCTTTAAAATTAAGTTCAGTCGACTCATAAAAAAACCAAGACGAGACGCAAGATATCCATAATCGTCCCGTCTCCGTTTCTTCATATAGAAAAGATTATTTTAATTGCTCTTCCAAATGGAAAAGATTATTTTTGCTTTAGTCCAAGCATTTCTAGCCACTTGCAAGAAACCACTTGTAGCACAGATGCTGTAGTCTGGACACTAAGCACCCCCACACCTCCAGGAGAGGGAGACAGACTAAAGCCTGTCTGCTCTTTCAGAAATGTTAAAGTTTGATTAATAATCCTTTTTTTCCTCTTAATCCCATTGAGATTTTGGTGAGGTTGAGTCTAATTCCTAGATTAGCTGATTCAAACAGAGAAGATTTCTGTGAAAGAGGATTGGATTCTGAGCTGCAGGGTGTTAAGATGAGATCTGGGTCACAGAGCAGGAAGATGTCTAATTTCTCCTTTGGAAAATATATTATTATTATAATTATTATTATTATAGTTATCGGTTCTGCTTCCAGGCGTCAGGTATATTGTAAATAGCTGGCCTTTACAGAATTGTCTCATTTTCTCATGGGGTTTATATAAATAAATAAATATTAGGCTTAATCATCCCAGGAAATGTAAAACAGCCACATCAGTCTTTACAGTAAAAAAAAGGACTAAGTTTCAATTCATTTACTTTTTTTTTAACCTCAGTATTCTAAAAATAATTTTCATCTCCTATTATTTATAACCTGGGCATTTTTTCTTTTTTGGACGCACTTCTAGTAACTTGATTCAGTTTCCATGTTACCCAATTCCTTAACTTTTGCTCCATTTTTTTCAATTCTGCTGCAGCCTCAGGTTTCAGGATTTGTTGGGAGTGTTACTGGGTCTGTACAAACACAGCTGTGATTATATGCTGAGAAATGTCTGATTGCTTTTTAAGGGTTTGTTCTTTATATATAGATATAGATATATAGTCCTATATCTATATATATATACATAATTTAAAGCTTTTTTTTTAACCTTCGGGTGTTGGGGGAATGGTTTAAGTTTGGCCCACTTAGATTTCCTTCTCTTTTTGATCATTTGTGGTGGTGAGTTGGTGGTGGGGATTTTGGTGAATAAGCTCAGGTTCCATCAGAGGAGCTGCCTCGGACAAGGAGAAAAAAATACTGCACAACCACTAAAAGATTGAAGAAAATGATTTATATAAATCCCAAATTACTGTCTTAAGACAGGATATGTACTTTGTGCCTGTTTTCTTTTCTCCTAGTCTTGCTTTCAGTGACAGAGCCTGAAAACCTAAAACAAAATCAGCATTGAATTCTAAAAGTAATTACCATAATAGATAAAAAAAAAACAAAAAAAAAAAAAAAAAAAAAAAAAAAATAACTAAGTTCCCACATGCCTGTCACTCCAGCTTGTCCATGTGAAGACTGTAAAATCTACATGAACATGTAGGAATACTGTCTGTGTGTATCATCCATCCTCATTCCCTCCCCTCTCTGAATCTGCAGGAAGGGGTTGGAAACCATCCCTCAAACATCTTTCTTTTTGTTTTATGAACCCTTATGAAGTGCCTCTGTAGCAATTAATGGATTTTTAATAAGTATCATGACCTGATTTAGAAAGAAAAGTAAATAAAGAGGTGTGTTCAATAAAGGGACTGGTTTTGGTGGTTGGTGTCTTCTTGTGTCCTGTGTGATCTGCTGTTTCTGTCACGGGTAGAGAACCTTTATTAGTTTTCTGCTCCGCTTCCTAAACTTAATAGATACACTTTGCATTTCAGTTTCTTCTTATGTTCCTACAAGTATGGAGGTAAAGATCACTAACCTACCTAACCTTCTAGTTAGTGATCTTTACCTCCATACTTAACCTGTCATAAAATAAATATTTGCATAAACACAATAAAAGTAATTAAATGTTCCTTTAGGTCATGTACAACTGTTTATTTGGGTTTGTTTCCTTACATGCTGATGCTCTGCAAAACTGCATCACTGTAGGAAAGAAAATAAAGGAAGATTAGGTGGCAAACGATCTGCTTTTCTCTGCAAACTCAAACATTTTCTATAGAAACTGAAAAATTATTAATCCCATTGAATTCCACAGTAGTATTTGGAAAACATTCTAGATATTCTTGCAAATATCCTTGCTTCACGTAGGTATGTTTTAATGGCACAACCTTGTATAAACCAACAAACAGCCAAAATGGCTTTTTTTAAAACCTGTCTCTATATCTCTTCCTGTTTTAAAACATTTCAGGCTTTTTTCAATAAGACTGTTTGGTTTTTGGACTTTTCTCAATGTCTTCTCCTCCAATCAAACTTGTAATTATGACTTTGCTCAGATTTCAGTGGAGGAATGCTACAATCTTCATGCACATGTTGCCTTTGTCCTTAAATTAGAAACATCTGTGGGGTTTTTTTCCAGAAAGAATGACCTCAATATTTAAACTCCACTTTGCCTTTTTTAACACGCTCCTTTAATCACTAATTTAGTTACCCATAATGCAGCAGTCATGTTCTGACTAGTGGATCTTGCCACCTCCTAGTAAGTTTGTTGCAATATAGCAATGTAGTTTCACTTATTCATCTGTTTTTTGTCATGTGGTTGAAAGCTTAGCAGAATGTAAGGAACAAAAAATTATTTCAATGTGATCCATGGCCAATTTTAGGGCAAGTTTTAACATTTGATTCACGTTCCCTGAAATTTCCAACTGAACCCCTCTGTTCTCGTTGAGTTATTGTGTAAATATCAGGTTGGTGTTTTGTTTCTTTGCAAAACCTTTTCTTTACTGCATCTCACTAGATCAACACACTAACGTACGCTGATTGTTCCTGAACAGGCGCCCTCCACCGGCTCCCCGTGGAAAACACTGGTGACCCAAAACCAGCAGGCATTGAACTTGAAGAAGTTTGGCAATGGAGGCACAGAGGAGCTGCATGTTTATGTCCTTTACCTTTTCTAAAGGACATAAAGCCACTTCACAAGACATCTTGTTTTGACATTTTCAGCTGCTGAAGCTACTTCAGGGGTAATAATCTGTAACAACAATATTTTACCATTTACTTCATGTCGGGAGTAGCCCTGAATATTATATAAACTTTGGACATGTTTATAATAATAAACATGTCTATTAAATAATCATGTTTATAAAAAAATTGAGATCTGTTTATTGAACCTTTATTATCAGACAATGGAAAAACCACGAGGTGGACAAAAGGCCATTTTTTTATACCATTTGTTTTTCTAAAGCCAAAGCAATCTTGTCCAAGAAACTGGCTGTTGCATTTGAAAATAATTATCTGAATGTAAGGACTGGTTTATTAATACAAGGACATGGAACAAAATGCAGTGATGTAAATACACAAGGCAGCCATCCATCTTTGTGAACATTTAACTTCCTCTGTAGAATCCCAGTGTTTGCTTTTGATGTTAAACAGATTTTTTTTTTTTTTTTTTTACCAAACTATGATCCAATGAGGGTAATATTTGGAAATTATTTCTCTGAAGGTTTGAAATATCAATAAGACTGTTAATTGTATTTAATAAAATAACAATGGAGCAAATTTTGGCTTTCTAGATTCACTTGACAATATTCACAAATATTAATATGTTAGGGCTTTTATGTTTGAATTGTCTAAGTATATTTGATCATCAGTTAATCTCAGCACTTCAAATTCATAAAGTGATAAGTTTTACTTTTTCTTTACTGTGGTTAATATGACTTAAAGTAAATACAAATGCGACTGTGTAACGCACACACTTATTTGAAAGGTTGATGACTCCACATGTGGTTGTTGCCATATCCAGGCCTATTAATGGAAAAATGAGTGGGAGGAAGAAGTGTGGTTGAAAGAAACATTTATGAATTTGTATGACCTGGAGAGTCAGCAGGTCGAAACTTCAAGTATCAACATCCTGATTTATTTAGGACATGAGTTTCAGCCTTTTCCGCTTTCATTATTAGCTGCTTCTGAACCAGTGATGATGTCAGAGGCATAAGGTGAAAAACAACTGTACTGTTATGATACACATTTGATTTCACATTTCATCTGGAAATTAAGGTCCCAGAGTGGAGAAAAATTTGAGAGAATCAAAGCTGTCTGAGTCCATTGAGACGTTTTCAAAGTTGATGATTTAGAAAGTGAAGTCATGTGATGTCAAGTGATGGTCCACTGAGTTTTCTCAGGTTCCAAAGTCCACACAGCAATCTGTCACTTCTTTTTACAACAGTTCATTCTTTCCCCGGCTTCTACCTCCAGGTAGATACTTATTTGATTTTCTTGCAAGGCTCGACACCTGTTTAAGTATCATGTTTTATTGGCCTGCAAGCTAAAACGGGCCAACTAAAATGAAGATAGGTAAGAGATTTCGCATTAAAAAATAAAACGCTGTGAAATCAAACCTTGAAAAATTAAACGTTAGTAAAAAAAACTGGCACCATTTTAGCTCCATTGGAAACTGGCCTGAAAAAACCTCCACAAAATCCTTGGAGGATACAGGCTGATCACTTCCACGCAACATGGCAGTGACTCACGAAAAAGAACCTCAACGAAGCATTCAGTCTGAGCTCTATGAAGTGGTCAGATTTGCTCTTTCTGTATTTTATCAATCCTGTGTGATTGGTCATTACCTGTGAGCCACAGTAACCAAATGAGCAGATATTACCTGCTCAAAATGCATCACAGACCTTCCTAAAACATGAGTTTCATTTTGGTGACCAAATTTCTCGAAAGCGTCTCTGAATCATGGATCTGTAGATAAATATGATGCAATGGAATATCAATACAAAATATAAAGTAAAAAAAAGTTATCTTTGTTGTCCTGTGAGGGATAAAATGAATGCGCCCGTTCTGTCGTCAAGTGCAGACCCGCTTGTTATTATCAAAGAGACGTCTCAGGGTGTAGATCTGAGTGACGGCCACACCAAGCATCACCATCAGGTTCAGACAGGACCAGAAGGACACTCGCCACAGGTTGTCCTCTAACAAGTAGCGGTCCCTGGCCTCAAAGGCCCGCAGCACACTCTGGACCTGACGGGTCTTCTCCAGGTGCCGGTACACTGAATCCATTGTTCTCTGAAACAGAAAGATTAAGAGACAGGCAGCATCAGTGGGAGGCAGCAACTTGCAAGATACAGGAAGTTTCCCCTTCTCACCCTGATTTCTTCTATTCTGTCGTCCGCCACGCTTTCAGTCACTGTGAAGTCGATCCACTCCTCTTGGCCTCCAGATGTGTTGCTTTGACTGCTAATTATGACTTTGAAAAACACCATCTTCTCAAACATCTTACTGAAGCTGTTGTCAAAGCATAACCGGTAATCTCCAAATTCTGTATGATCCACCCTGACAGAAAAAACACAATGTGTAGTAACAACGAGACATTATTAGTAACCATGGCTTTAGTTTCAGATCAGCAGGAAAGCATTAGGAATACCCACATATGGATGCCGTCAGATGTCCTGAACTCAGAGACCACCCGGTGACCACTGGGTGAAATCAAGGCAAACCCAACATCCAGACCGGATCCTGCGATAACCTTCAAACAACAAGTCACATATTCAGAGTCATCCTCACATTTTAACACATGCAGCTGCTCAAGTTTGCCTCATGGTATCTTTGGAACTGCTACCTGAAATTCAAATGAATGGCATGATAGCAAACTAAACAACACAAAGCAGCCAAAGCTTTCTCAGGTTATAAAGTGTCAGGTTTCAGTCTGACAAAAACCAATGGTCACATTAGTTTCCAATGATGACGCATTACTAGGAGGTTCCAGACAGTCTGCAGCATCAATATGCTGACAGTGGTGTCATTTTTTTATCTGTTTTTGATCAAGAAATTATTCAGGGTTAAACAGTCAAACTCTGTCTTTCTCTCTTCATCAGAGAATAGCGTCCATAGATATACGTAATTTAGGTTGGCCTGATTTTGTGAATAGAAATAGATCTGTTGGGCTTCTTCTCTGAGTTTGGTTGTACATTAAGGATTCTTAGGTAGACATTAGACTAGATTGAATAGCCACATTGCCAGAGATCCTAATGTTTTACTGATTCCTGTTTAGTAGCAGGCTAGGAATCTTAAAAAAAAGGTTTCTGTCCTGCCCCATTATTGTGCATGTGCCTTTAAAACTTTCAGCGGTTTTCTTATCTCTCTGATAACAAGCCCAAAGTCCAAACTGCTCACTCGGTTGCTTGCAAACCTTTAAAACAACTAACTAAAAGATATTCCAAACAAAATAGTTAAATAGCAGCAAAAGGTGCACCGAGGTTCCTCTTCATATTGTTTTTACCTGGTATTCTATCTCCATGGTGTCACCTGTTGTGGTAGTTTGGTAAAAACACTCTGTGCCGCCTGTGGGTAGCATAAATGTAAACTCCGTGTTTTGATGTGGCCCCATATCCAAAGCCAGCCCCACAGTCAGACTCAGATATCCCATCAGATAGAGCTGTGCAGGCGAAGTCATCATTGAAGGGTCCAATAAAGAAAGTGGCTCCACTTCCACCAGAACCTGGGTAATTTCTCCTGTGCACAATAAGCCAAGCGCACTGAATGCGTGTAATTACTTCCTGTCATACTCCGGTGGTTGAACAATAGTCTGTCAGACAGAGCTTGCGTCCTGAGTCAAAGCTGAGTCAGTGGAGCCACTATCTGAAGCGCTCTGCGGTCTGGACTTCACACTCAAACGACCTGTGCACCTGCAGTCTAATAACAGCCATGAAAACAGCATGTTGACTTTGGTTATTATTTATTTCAGTTTCATTTTGCGGCAGAGATGGAAAACTGTGTGGAATAGTACACAAGTTTCAGGGGGGATCATTATGACATGACCTGACCGAACAAGGTCAGAGGTAAACAGATGCTGAGAGGTTGCTGTGTGTCGACAGGGTTAAACCCAGGCTTTTAGCTGTGATGACACATTTATTAATGAATCAATATTTACGGTATATAAGGAATCTGTAATTTAATTATTTTATTTTTTTTTCAGTGTTCTCATTTGCGTTTTAGAAAACAGAGGCCACTTCAGAAAGTTTTATAACGGGTTATGTGGGAGTAATGCATAGCTCTGGGTTTGTGCACCAAATAAAAAAACCACAAAATAAATAAATAAGTAAAATAGAACTTTATGAGTTTTATTCATGTTAATTAGGGGGTTGGGCCAATTCTCTATGGGATTTTTAAAAGCAACCTAACAGCATAGCGATTTATAAGTTCATATTTCAAATATATTTCAAACAAATTGCAAGTCAAACATGTTTTTTATGCCCCACAATTTTCCATGACTGTTAAAACAACTTTTATCTTCATTTTTAACTGAAGAGCAGCTCAAGTCATGTCCTCTGACTCTAGGAGGCGCTGTTCGTTCTGAACATCTGAATCTTAATGGCCCACATGTTTCTTTCAGCACACAACCCAAACAAATGAACATAAACTCATAAATTAAATAAACTCTTCACGAGTTTTGATGAGAAAAGTGAAAGTGGAACCAAGTATTTATCGATACTGTGTAAAAGGACATCTATTTTCTTGATGTCTGATTTTAATTCTGGATTTTTAAAATAATTTGTGTTTAGTAAATGAGAAAGAAAAACAGAAGTTTTCATAAAATTCTAAACTTGCCATACATTTCATTAGTGCTAACCTATGTACCTGCAATTTCTGTTTTGGGTAGTTAGTTATTTTGGGAAATAGTTTTTCAGTACAACTGGTTTAACCGAGGCATGTTTAGGTCTGATAAGCTTCATTAAATGTGATGTCAATACAAAGTCTTTGCCACTGAGTGCTTTTGGAAACTGAAATCTGGCTTTTTATGTTGCTTTTGAAGTTTTGACTTCTTCCTCCCTGGGTGGCCTTTCAGCCTCAGACTTGTTTCACTTTGGATAACAGTTTTTACTAGCCTCAGCCAAAAATCTCCTTAAGCTTTTAGCTTTTTGTTTTGTTTGTCGGATTTCTCACCAAAACAGGTTAAACTCTGAAAACCGCTCTCCTTCCTAAGTGGTAAGGAAGGAGACTGTTATATATATAACACATGAATGGGTCTCCTTCAGCCTTGTGGAAATTGTATCCCAAAGATGAATCAGACTTGCAAACATCCACAGTTCTCCTGGTGTCTCAGCTGAGGCGCCACAATAAAAATAGAAATACTACACACTGTTTACTGTATTCCAGTAGTTTACTGGAAATCTATTCCAGTGAGAAGTTCGTGAAAGGAAACCTAAAAGGTTTTACTAAGAAAATGTATGTACATTTCTGAATTTACAAAATGTTATTTTAAAAAAAATCTCAAAAGATTTGTGACATTTAGAAATAGGAATAATTTGGGAAAGAAAATATGTATGAGTCTTTTTACTTGATGTAAGTATTTAGTTTCAGCAGTATTCACGAGCTGTTATGAATCAGCTTGTTTTGGAGGAAGTGAATATCAGATTGCACCTGCAGACCTTTTCCTAAAGCCACATGTGGTGAGCAGACTTTACTGTGTCTAAGTTAGTTGAGAAGTGCTCTCTCTTAAATATGCAGGGTGCATCGCCACAAAGGAGTCAAAACTGGTGATCAGTCTGCTGGTCTATGCCCTTGAAAAAGGTTCTACATCAAAGACACATTTTACCATGCCAAATAAACATCCGTGTATTTTGGGGGGATTTCTTTTAGCAAACAAATAAATTTTAAATGATATTTATTTATTCATTTTTACAGAAAAGGATGTGTCTCCCCCCTCAAAAAAAGAAAACAAATCTCTAAAAAGAAAAACCTTTGCAAAGATAAGGAAATCTGCGCAAAGCATTTTAACGTGTCATTATTTTATGAGGAAGTGGTCAGCAACTAAAGAGAAGCTCAAAGAAAATGTGGACGTGTCTGTGATGTAAAAGAGATAACCAATTGAAAATATGAATGTCACTGGTCTGCATGGTGCTATAAAACCTTTGGGATAGATTTAGCCCTCTAGTCCAACATCAGTGTTTGACCTCATAAATGTCCTGTTGGTGAAATGTACAAATATTTCCATAAGCACGCCCCTGGATCTGACTTCTCTAAAGACTTCAACCTCATAAAGATAACTCATCTAATACTTTAATGCAGTATTTTGGCCACACTGAAAAGAAGTCTATTTGAAGGAGTCAAGATGAAAATTTCTAACCATGAGAAATGAGGGTCTATATTGCAGAAATAATATAATAAAAATGAAAAGTGCCAATAAACTTTTAACCCTACCTCACATAAACTTGATGAGGAGAACAAGGAAGCCCACACAGAAGACAGGAAACTCAAGCAGAAGTTAAAAAGACACGTTCTACGCTGCAGACCATTCAGGAACAATTTGAGGTCAGAAAAAACAACCATTATGCAGCGAGTTGTTCAACATGATCAGTAAAAGCTATTCAACTGGACTGGAAGGTCACAAAATCCACTAAACAAGAGAAAATGTTCAGTTGTAAGTTTAGTTTGACAATTATTAACTATATTATATCAAACCTTTCACATAGGCTTAGTCACTGATTGTTTTACCTTTAAAACAAAACATTTTGATCTTGCTTTTTGTTTTGACAAATTGTTAAACTGGACTTAGTCATTCCCTATGAACAGTGGAACAAAACCTGCCAAAGAAACACTTTTAAAAGGCTTTTAAAGCCTTCTAAAAGATAAAGGCTTTAGGAAGTATAAACAAGACAGTTTCCCCGTGAATAGAATATTGTGGCTTTCAAAACAGACAGAAATGTTTTAGTGGTTATACCAAAACTATGTGACCAGACTTTATTTACTCTAAACAATGATGAGAATGAGAAGATTAAAAGATTGGGATTGTAAGTTTGACTCTGGGTACAAATGTTGCTTAAACGTGTAGACAAGCCGCAAAGAGAGAGTTCAGATGAGAGGAAGTGTGAACGACATAGCTCTTGCAGTGAAGTGGGAGGGTGTGAAATAAGGTTAAAATGCACATTGTTTGATCTCCCCTTCACTTCTATGGTCTCTTCTTCAGCAGCCTTTACATTCTAAACTTAGAAGCAATCTTTATATATAGTTTCAATTTGATGAGTACAGGAAAATTGGATATTTTGCCAGCCTTCACAGGTGCTGTGGTGATAAATCTCAAGATTCACATCGCCGGCTGTTTCTGACTTCTCATGAGACATCTCCACTTGAACCAACCAGAAGTGAGCCCACCCATTTTTGCAATCTTATTGCACCCCGCTGCCTCTCCACTGTAGTTGGTCTCTTCAGCCCCTCGGCAAAAGCAGCTTTGACCGCTGGAGGATCATTTCCATCTGAAATGTTTTTCAATTTCAAAAGTGGCGTGGGGCACAGGGCTCCCTCTGTGCCCTCGGTGTTTGTGGTGGACACCCATGCCACCCGACCAGCTGTACCACCTCGACTGGGCAAACAGAAGAAGCAAAGTGGGGTCGCGCAGACTCTGCTGTTCATCCTGGTGACCCTGGCTCTGTTCGGCGTGTTCTTTGAAGCTGTCCTCATCTATCGCCTCTACCAATCTGAATATGTGAGTATCATGTAAAGAGTTGTGTAATATCAGTCTGTGATTTGTGTGTGTGTGTGTGTTTCATTGTACATTTTCTGTTCCATTACCTTTACCTTTTCACCTCAGAATCTCACTTTCATGATAGGAATTTAATTATCTCTACTATCAATTCTCGCTTTCAGTATTATTTTTATGTTCGAAGTGTTTTCTCCCACTTTTTTCATTGTCTCAGCTACTTTACTTTTTTTTTAAATGGATATATTCAGCTTTCCATGAATCATGAGTACATCACAATTCTATATTTAAACTTGTTAAATTATACTTACTATAAATACTGGAAATAAACTGAATATATTGATTCTGTGAAGAAAAGGACTCAGTGAGGTGGACTGATAAATCTACATAACAGACTTGGTGTAAATGTGGGTTAAAATTCAAAGCATAATCAAAAAATGTGGTTATAATTAAAAGTTTTTTAATGCACATGTTAATAAGAGCCAATTGTTAACTGAGAGAAAATTCATCTGCTTTTCCGTCTAATTGGATTTCCAACGTGGAAACTTCAGTCTTCTGCTTTCCATGAGATTTTCCTTTTCTTAACGTCTCCCTTCATATATGGGGCTCTTGAGACAGAGGCGTGAGTAAAAAAGGTCTGTTGTGACAGAAACCACACTCACATTTGCTCAGATCATGTGCACGAAAGTCCCCCCCTCATCCCACTCCAATAAGTGCTGAGCTGGCATTTATTTCATGGTAAAGAGGAACAACGTGGACCACAGATGGAGAAATCCGGTGGTTTATACTGAACTCTTCTGACGTCTTTTGGAGTTGGACACACAGACACTCTTTGCCCTGATATTGCAGACAGTGAAGCTTCTGTGTTTGGCTTCCTATGACATCCCTCTGCTGTCTGAGGGCAGCAGTCACAGATTTTGGAAAAATATTGATTCACTTTCTGTGGGTCTGCAGATCATGCATTCTGCAAAAATTAGAGCCAGCATAGATAAGGAAATGGTCCATTTCCTGTGTTATGATTATGATCTACCTTAGAAGCATTGCATAACAAACCTTACCCAAAACCCTTACAATGATTGGTTAACACAAAACAAATGCTAGCATATGCTAAAAAATCAGGGTATTTTTTCGCATATGCTAAAAAATCAATCAGGGCATGATTCATTTTACTGCCTTAGATTTAAGACCTTCCACATCCTAATGCAGCCTCATGTGCACCAGCGGTCATGCAACTGTGTTTGAATGCTTGCCAAGAAAGCATGCATGCACGCAGATCAAAGCTAAACCACCTGAATGTCCTTTTTCATTTACCGTTGCAGGCCCCCTCAGGTTTTATCTCAAAGCAAATCAGCGGTATGTCTCAGCATTTTCTATTTTGCATAATAAAAGGTCTTGAGGCCTATTCTTCTGACCGGGAAACAATGTGTCTTACCGTCACACAGGAAGCCCTCCTCCAGATACAGACACAGATGGTCGTCTTCTTCCATCCAAACCGGTTGCACATCTCACAGGTGAAATTTTGCAACTTCTTCTAATAAAATGTAAAATTTTTCTAACCAAGATAAAAACATTTTTCGAAACATCACTGACACCGTTGCTTGTGTTTTGTTGATTAGATGGCCAAGACGTCAAACACGACACACACGACACACACGTCCTGGCATGGAGCGAGATCGCTGAGCCTCTCCTCTATGAAATGACATACAAAGACAGCCACCTCATCATCCAGAAAGAGGGATACTACTACATCTATTCCAAGGTCTATTTCTCAAAAGGTGGTGCTTTTTACCATTCTGTGATGATGCAAACTAAAATGTATGCCGGAAAAGGCATCTCCCTACTGGAGGCCAGAGAGTATTCGTCAAAGAAAGACAAAGAAGCCATGAGTTTTTCCAACAGTTTCCTAGCTGGGGTGTTTTACCTGTCCCAAAATGATGCTATCTATGTAAACGTTAGCAACACAAAACAGATTATCCGACACAAATCTTATGAGAATGTGTTTGGTGCCTATATGATATAGATATCATACCGACAGGAGATTTAAAATAAGTTTACAACTCTTCTCAGGGACATTTTTAGTTGCCTTTTTATACCCGATCAAAAGGCATCGTAAAAGGAAAAGTGTTGAAGATGTGTTTCTACTTCAAATCAAAACTTCAAGAGCTGATTAAACATTTAACTTTTGTGTTGCAAAATATTATTTACTAACATAAAAAAGGATGGTGCACTTTTTTTCAATTTTACTGCTTCAAAAAATTATAACTGTTATTTATTTATTCCTTTCATGTATTATCAGTGCTGTGTTTATGCAAAAAAATATGCAATAAAGTCTGTTTTGAACAAATAAAAGTTTTTCTTTCTGCAGTTGCAGTCTTGTGAGCCAGTTGACTTCATTTCCTGTCATATCAGGCGAGGCTGAGCTAAAGGCAGAATGGTCTCAGCAAAAGAAAATGTGTCACCCACTCTCTCCAACCACAAAATGTACATTTATTACCGCTCCAACACGTTAACCTGAAATGCCATCAGCAGCTGAACATCTTCTGGTTGAAACGTGAAAAGTGCAGAAGTAAAATTTGAAAAACAAATTAGCTTTGATCCAAGTTTTTGGGGAGAGAGACTGCGTCCCGTTTATGTTCTTTGCTCAAAAACTGGATGTTTTCTTGTTGACTGTAAACTTCCAAATGATCAATTTCAATTCATGACTTGATGACAAATTCGCTTACTTGATTGTACAAAAAAAGCCCCATCACTCTTTGAAGTGCATTTTTTCGCTTTTCATTTCTGTCACAGTCACTCTTACTCTTTCCCTTCATTTGTGACGGTTCGCAGAAGCCTTATGAAAGCACCCACTGACTTGTGTATTTGTAAACTGAGGAGGAAGTGGTGGTGGGGGCCGCTGGGGAGGGGAGCAGCGCGGAGGGGGGTTGTCAGTAGCAGAATGCCTGACTCACTTTCCAACCCCAGACCTGGAGCACAGTGGCTGATAAAGACGCACCGTCACAGACTCTGTGTGTGTGTATGTCTACATGAGAGAAGGATGGTGGGCGTATGCCTCAAATTAATTTCCCCTCAGCCGCTTTGTGTGGATTTATTTTCATTGAAATCATGAAATGACTTCCCATCACTTCCCTTCCAGACCCTGACTGGAGAAAAGGTGCCAAACCCAATCCGATCAGTTAACAACTCATGTGTGCGTGTACGTGTGTGTGTTGGCCCTTATGATGCTTCTGCACTGTCGTCTTGAATGTTCAAGAATGAGTCATCATGTTCCAGCGCTGACTGTCCTGTGAGGTGTGCAGCTCTGTTGTCTCAAAGGAGGCGGTGAAGTGCTGTGCGGTTTGGATTCATGCCATATCATCATTAAACTCTAAACCAGATCTGACTTTTACAGAGAATTTGTGTGGGATGAGCTTTCTCTGTCTGCAGTTATTTTCTGAATCGATGAAACCATCTTGTTTTTCCATCAATGAAGCCAAATTGTGAAATCAGACACAAATACTCTGATGAAATGCTTATTTCTACACACTACATTGACGCAAGGTCAAACATGTGGCGTTGTAAAGTGTTTTTCTCATTGAAAGCACAAGTGAAAGTGTTGGCTGTGTCGCACCTCTCATGGTCTACGGCTAAATGCTGTCCCCTTGTGTCGAGCTCTTGAAGGGGAAACATATAACAGGTGTTTGATCGGAGCTGAACGCTTCCACTTTCATCCAAACGTCATCCATTCAAAAAATCCACTATAGCTGGGATTTTTATATTTTTTTAAGTGGATATTTATATAGTTGTTATGAGTTGTTATCAACATCTTCCATTCAGTTTGTAGTAATGTTTACATACCACAGCTGGGATGAACTAAAATAGGGTGGAATCTTTACTCTGCTCTTCCATTTTGTGTCAAACAGTGATTTACATAAAACTCTGCTGATCTGCAGTTCGCTTCAGGGATGTTCCATGTGAGACACGTATTCCTGAGAGAGAACATGCAAAATGAATCTGGGCAGAAATTAAAGAAATCTGAAGTAATGCAAAAATCTGTGAGCTAGTGTTTGCTATGTCTACTTTTTTATGATAAATAAATTTCATTTTTGCCACTGCATGGTTTGTATTCACTGGAATCACTGTATACAATATTTAAGCTGACAGTAATTTTCTTCTAAATTGGCTGCTGTACTGTATTTTCCCTGAATACATGTATTCCATTTTTTTTCCCCTTTTCATTACACTTAGATGTTTCAAGTTATCAAAAATTTTTAAACTGTTAACTTAAGTGCTTTTAAAGGGTAACTAAGTTATTTTAACCAAATGTTAAGTCAGATCACATCCCAATAGCTGACCTTGTTAAATCTGAACCGTGATTATGATTTTTTTTTAAATTCAGTTTTTTGGCCTCAACCGCATCTGATTGCTGCCGCACTTGTGAAATCAAGAAATGACTCAATTTGAACCAGTCCTACAACAAACCAAGACCAAAAATTGGGAAAAGTAATGCACAATGAAAGTGAAATCTCTGACATCTATCTGCCTGAGAAGGATTACAAGATTATTACAAGGTTTTCTTAGAACCTTTGTGAATATTTTCTAAATTTGAAAAAAAAGGAGGAATATTTTGGGAATGCATTCTACCACATGGAGCATGTAGATGATCATCTGCTTTACTTCATTAGGAATTGGGCAACTTGTAATAATTGAGACCATTAATTCAGGTTCCTAATGTCTTACTATCAGTTTGTGACTTTGGCAAAACTGATGGCAAAGTCACAAAGTGAAGATGATTTTCAAATGAACATGAAAATCATGTTCACTTGGATTGTGGAGCAGGACAATAATTCGGAGAACACTAGCAGGTTTTGGAGCAGTCTGGTCCAAATCTCTACTTCTGTGATGACAAGTTCTGTTAATTAAGATTTGGTCAATAGAATTGTCATGCCTTCCAAAGAGGCATGAAAGTTTCAATTTCATGTTTCAATTCTCCTTCTTTGAAGAATTGAAACAATTCTTCAAAGAAGGATGAGCCATAATCTATCCTCAACAAAGTACCAGACTCAGGTATGCTGCCATGTTGAGTTTGCACTCTGATTAAAACTCCCTTTTTGAAAATAATGTTGAGCAGGTATTAAAAAAAGTCTTTATTGGCCCACATTAAAAATGTTTCTAATGAAAATGATCTGTATTATTTATATTGAATTATATGTTTATGGTATATATATTTATATATTTACATGGTGTATGTATATATATTAAATTTAGAATGGTAATAATAATGAATTATAGTATTATTATAATTTTTTCTGTGTCCCACAAAACCGTTGACGTTTGGACATTTTTAAGAACTCTTATGATGGCTGCATCTGAGCTTCCCCTGTGATATTTTGGAGGAAATAATGTAAAAAATGTAAAGAAAGTCAAGAAATATTTCACCAGCCACTGCCTCGGCGGTGTGGAAAGTATGTAGGGGCAAATCAAATTGTGCAAATGACTGTAATAAATGAGACAGAGTGGGAGGGCGTAGCTGAGTATTTCTGCTATCTGTATTTTATTGTAGCTCCCTGGATATCGTTTTGGTTTAATCGAAACCTTTGGAGGCAGCAGTTAAGAGCAGCCTGAGAAGTATGACTGTTGCTGAGGTTTGGAAAAGAAAAACTTTCACCAACTTGGAAAATATCTTTCCTGGCTGTGATGACTAATGACAAGTTCCGGTGACCTTTTCTGTAGCAGATGGTAATCATTTAAATTTAGGTCAATAGATGTCATGATGTACACTTTTCAAACAGCGGATCTGTACAATGTTTTGTCTGGAGGGCACGTTCTTCGAAAGCAACAGGGAGGGTCCCAGCATAACTTTCTTTTAGTGACTATGCAGGATGATTAACTTTTAACCTCTCACTTTCACTTCATTTGGGGTCTCAAAAATTACTAAGTCAAGTCATTGTTGTGACTTGATTTAGCGCAACACTGCAGCTAATACATCCAATTAAACGGAGTCCGGCACAATTTTCAAAGCTATCTTGAATGACTAAATTTTAACACCAGATTATAAAAGCCCAAGAAACTTCTTCCAACACTTCCAAATTAAAACAAACTGAAAATAAAGTACTAAAACCAATATTTTATTTAGTACATATTAACATCAGAACAAAACCTGCATTAACAATAGAAAAAAAAAACTAAAAACAGATTTCTTTGTACCAGAATGAGTAAAATGAGCAATGACTTATTTTAGCTTGTAAGAGAAACTTCACTTTAAAAATAATTCTATAAAACATCAACTCAGTTGTGTAGGTGGTGTAATTTAAAAATAAAATATGATTGAGTATAAAAATAATCTAGTATACCAAAAAAACACCTCAAAGCAACTAAAGGAAACCACATTTTCCAGTTTGAAAACTGTCAAGTGGACAGGCATATTGAAAATAAGTGTATTCCAGTGAATCCCGACAGAAAAAACAAACAAATATGTGTGGCACAGAAAAACACAGTAACACATAAGATTATACATTCATTGAACATCGGTGGAAATGTAATATTTACAATACCCATGATGTAAATAAGTCCAGACAGAATAATAAATAGCTTCAACATAAATATATAAATTTATAGCGCATGGCAAATAAAGTCAATATATAAGGATTTAGAAAGAACTGGTGAAAATAAAATACAGTTTCAAGAAAAGAAAATGTTTATTTGCCAATATTTTTGGCACTTCTCTATAAAACATTCTTGAAGATTGATAATCACATTGTTATGTAAAATAACTACAACCAAGAAATAACATCTAAACAATTTAGTAAGGCCATATCAGAGAGCTAAGATTAGAGATGAGTAAAAACTTATTTGTCCTCCCTTCTTAGAGTTACAGCATACTTTCTGGTAATTCTACTGGATATGTATGTATAGATAGTAATTTAAAAAATAGCTGTGAGGCATAAAAAAGAAAAAAATCAATTTGTAGTGATGATTTCAACCCCTGAGACTCATAACAATACAAAAACTTTTTCTGACAGGTTTTGCTTGAGGATAAATGGTCAAGCTGGAAATTGTGAAGAAAAGTTTTTACCCCATTTTCTTAAAGAAATCCTCAAAGTTAAATTTATCTGTTTAATCCACACTCTATGAAATGCATGCCCTTTCTTTTTAGATCGGTTTCAAACAAACTCTACATTCTAGCTCTCAATAGAAACAATCTTCTATTGAGAGCTAGATTTTTACGGAGGAAGGGTCCATTTGTAAAGTTTCATTGGAGCTAGCACTGTAGTTTCTTCAGCCAAAGGATGTCCAGATGAGTCATTGTAATATCGTATTCAATATAGGCCTCAGGTTCAATAGTTATGTTAACCTCAGCCCCCGCTGGCAGAAATAAAACCTTGCTGAGC